TGGATACCTCCAGGACAGGGGGATCACGGTTACCTTCGTGGGGGGTGGGCGGACTGCAGTCTGTACAGACGCTACCACAGGTGCTGTTCTGGCCACGTTCACCAGGGAGCCCCGCTCCGGTCTCTACGTCCTCCACACCGAGCGCTCCCCGGTCGCGTCCTCCCCTCAGGTCGTTGCGTCCCCTCCGGCCCAGGTCCCCAGTCCAGTTGCTGTGTCTAGCCAGGTAGTAGTGTCCGGTCCGGTCGCTGTGTCCAGTCCAGTCGCTGCGTCTTGCTCCTGTCGCTCTCTCACCCACCGCACCGTCCTGTGGCACCACCGCCTTGGCCACCCGTCGCTCCCTCGCCTACGTGGCATGCTCAGTCAGGGACTTGTCTCAGGTCTCCCACGCACCTTCCCGTCGCTCCCTCTCTCGCCTGCCCCTCCTTGCTCTCCGTGCGTCGCCGGTCGCTTACGCGCCACTCCCCACTCCTCCTCCCTTCGTCCGACCACCGCTCCCTTCGAGACTCTCCACTTGGACGTCTGGGGCCCTGCCCCGACGCAGGGGTCTGGGAGGGAGCGTTACTTTCTGGTGGTCGTCGACGACTTCTCCAAGTACACCACAGTGTTCCCTCTTGCGAAGAAGTCTGAGGTGACTGCTACGCTGATCAGGTGGCTTCTAGCCACTGAGGGCACTCGTGGTCGTCGAGTCAGTTGTCTCCACTCCGACCGTGGGGGCGAGTTTCGCTCCGGCATTCTCGGCGGATTCTGCGGCGAACAGGGCATCACCTAGTCCTGGACGCTGCCAGAGTCCCCACAGCAGAATGGGGTTGCTGAGCGCCGCATAGGCTTGGTCATGGACATCGCCCGCACGTCCATGATCCATGCCCGTGCGCCCCATTTTCTGTGGCCCCACGCGGTTCGCTACGCCGCACACCAGCTGAACCTCCAGCCGCGTGTCTCGCGGCCCGAGGTTTCACCGACCAGTCTTTGGACTGGTTCCCCTGGTGTCGGGTCGGCCTTTCGAGTCTGGGGCTGCCTTGCACTTGTTGCGACACCTCCGCGGACAAGCTCTCGGCACGCGCCGTCCCCTGTGTCTTCCTTGGTTTCCCATTGGACTCTGCCGACTGGTCTTTTTACCACCCTCCCCTCCACCAGTTCCTAGACTCCCGTGACGTCCGGTTTGACGAGTCCGTGTCCTACTACACCCGGTACCCCTGTCGAGGTCTCCTGGTACCCCCTCCCCCTCTTTTCCTCGCACCCTCTCCTCCTCCTGCTCCCGCTCCTCCGGTACCCCCGCCCCCCCCTGGTCCTGCCCCGTCTGGTGTGTCCCACGTTACCCCTCTACCCTCGGTCGCGCGTCAGGTAGCGTCTCCCTCCCCGCAGTCCTCCTCACAGTCCCCTCAGCAGCCTTCGGCACTTCCGCGACAGGTTACTGTGGACTCGGTTGGTGTTGGAGCTGGAGGTGCAGCCACTGGCGGTGCTCGGCCTGGGGGTAGTCGGTCGCGGGGTGCTGGAGCTAGAGGTGCTGGCGCAGGTGGCGCTAGCTCTGGGGGTGCTGGAGCTGGAGGTGCTGGCGCAGGTGGCGCTAGCTCTGGGGGTGCTGGAGCTGGAGGTGCTGGCACTGGTGGTGCTAGTTCTGGGGGTGCAGGAGCTGGAGGTGCTGGCACTGGCGGTGCTAGTTCTGGGGGTGCTGGAGTTGGAGGTCCGGGCACTGGAGATGCTGGTTCTGGGGGTGCTGATTCTGAGGAGTCTGACCCTGGTTCTGCGGAGTCCACTCCGCCTCCCCACCGCCACGACACACGACTCCAGGCTGCCCGCCGGCGTGAGCGTGAGGAGCAGGAGCGGTTGGAGAGGGAGCGGCAGGAGCTGCGGGTGCTGGACCTTTTGGAGCAGCAGCGGCAGCAGCAGCAGCAGCAGCAGCAGCAGCAGCAGCAGCAGCCGCGGCAGCAGCCGCAGCCGCAGCCCCCGCCGCAGCAGCAGCAGCCGCAGCCGCCACCGCAGCTTCCTCTGGAGCGGCGGTTGTTCCCACCTGTGAGTGGCCTGCGGGCCCTTGGTTTTTCCTCCTCTCCTCCTGTCCGCTCCCAGTCTCCTCCTGTGTTTGTTCCCCCGTTGCCTCCTCCTGACGACCGTCCGGCGGTCTGGTCTTCTCCTCCTCCCCAGTCTCCTCCTCCTTCGGTCCGTCGCGACTTGGTCACTCGTTGTCCTCCGCGTGCTCGTCACTCGTCCCCTGTTACTGACCTCCACACTGCCCTCCTTTGTACGTCTCGTCGTCGTTCTCCTTCTCCTGTGTCCGTTCTCCCGTCTCCTCCTCCGTCCTCTCTCCCAGCCCTCCCCACTCCTATCACTGACTACTACCGCACTGTTTGTCCTGTTGCCGCACGTGTCCTCGCCACTCTTGTCACCGACTCTCGTTTCCCTCCGTCGTCGGTCTCTGCTCTTACTGCCGCTGTCGCTGAGTTTGCTGCCGCCAGCCGCCTTGACTACGCCACCCGTGTGGTGCCAGCTCCTCCCTACCGTCCTCTGTCCGTCGGGGGTGGGTTTGCCCTTGGCTGTGACGTCCTAGAGGACAGAGAGTCTGAGCTGGAGTACTGGGCAGCCGCTTCTCCCTCTGTGTGTGCCATGCTGCTCTCCCCTGAGGGAGACCCCGACGCCCTTGACATACCGACTCCTCACACTTACCGCGAGGCAATGTCAGGGGCGTGGGCCTCTCAGTGGAAAGCGGCTATGGACTCAGAGTTGGCGTCTTGGAGATCCACAGGGCGAACGTAGTCGATGGCATGTGGCTCTTCAAGGTGAAGCGGCCACCTGGAGCACCGCCGGTGTTCAAGGCGCGCTACGTGGCTAGGGGCTTCAGTCAGCGTGAGGGAGTTGACTTCTTCCAGACCTTCGCCCCGACCCCGAAGATGACTACTCTTCGGGTGTTACTCCACATAGCAGCGCAGCGAGACTACGAGCTGCACTCCCTCGACTTCTCCACTGCGTTCCTCCAGGGCCGACTGCACGAGGAGATCTGGCTGCGCCGTCCTCCTGGCTTCACTGACACCTTCCCACCTGGGACCCAGTGGAGCCTGAGGCGACCAGTCTACGGTCTCCGCCAGTCGCCCCGTGAGTGGCACGACACTCTTCGCTCCACGCTTCGTGACCTTGGGTTCAGCCCTTCCTCCGCCGACCCGTCGCTGTTTGTTCGAGCGGGTTCTACTCCTTTCTTTATCCTTGTCTACGTCGACGACTTGGTGTTTGCTACAGCAGACAGGGCAGCCCTGGCTCAGGTGAAGTCCGAACTGCAGAAGAGACACAAGTGCACTGACCTGGGTGAGCTGCAGCGTTACTTTGGCTTGCAGATCACCCGGGACAGAGCCGCTCGCACCATCACACTGACGCAGTCACACATGGTGCAGCAGGTCCTTCGGCGGTTCGACTTCCAGTTCTCCACCACACAGCCCACTCCTCTTGCTGTTGACCACAAACTCACGGGCCCCTTTCCTGACGAGCCCTTTGAGTCCAGTGGACCCTACGCAGAGCTGGTGGGCTGCCTCATGTACCTGATGACTTGTACTCGACCGGACCTCGCCTTTCCCCTCATCATCCTTTCTCGCTTTGTTGCGACTGGGAGACACCGCCCTGTCCACTGGACAGCTGCTGTGAGGGTGGCGAAGTACCTGGCGACTACATCAGGCATGGGGCTTGTGCTTGGAGGGACTCGGCCAGTGGCGTTGACTGGTCACTGTGACTTTTCCTACGCTGACGACGTGGAGACTCAGCGCTCGACTCAGGGTTACTGCTTCAGTCTGGGAGCTGGTGCTGTGTCGTGGAGGTCTACACGGTCGTCGTCTGTGGCTACTTCCAGTGCAGAGGCAGAGATCTACGCGGGTGCCATGGCAGCACAGGAGCTTCGCTGGTTGACCTTCTTGCTCGCCGACCTTGGTGAGCGGCCTCGCTCTGCACCGACCTTGTACGCTGACAACAAGGCCATGATCCTCATGTGTCGAGAGCCTCGACTGGAGAGCAGAGTGAAGCATATTGACGTGAGGTACTTCCTCCTGCGAGAGCTGCAGCGACGCGGCCAGGCACGCCTGGACTTTGTGGCCTCAGAGGCCAACACTGCAGACGTCTTCACCAAGGCCTTGGCGCTTGGTGACCACCACAGGTTCTGTGTGCAGTTGGAGCTAGTTGAGGTAGGCCCTCGGTTGCTGTAGTCCTGTTGCTTGCTCTGCTTGTTGTGCCTTGTATTTATATCCTAGTGAACTCTTGAACTGGCCTTGTGGCCGCTTGCTTGCGCTCGGAATTTGTGTGGTGTCCTTGAGATCCACCCTGAGCTTGTCTTGGTTCTTGCTTTGACTGGTCTTGTGACCGTTTGTTCACCTTGCTTGTTTTGATGCCCCTCACTTAGCCTATGGGGGTGTGTCAAATGTTGAACATTGATATGATAGGCTGTAGTGAGTTGCACTCTAGGGGGTACAGTTTCTAGGGTTGCTTATTTGTACCCCATTCGTTTCTATTCCAAGCATTCCGTTGCTAACCACTCTTGAGACAAATGTACATATTTTCTTGTATCACGCCCTTCTATTTCCATCACTGAGGGTTGATTGCACACTGCTGACGCATTTGTTGCCTCTGTTATATAATATTGCAGGAGAACGCTGAGCTGAGGTCGCGGCTGAGACGCAGAGTGGTCTATCAATGAACTGATTCTACGAAATGGTGAAAGGTGGAGCTCAGCAGTCTTACCGCACTATACCATGTAGGATTACCCTGATAAGCTAGTCATTTTTTGTGCCTTGGGCACGTGATGCATAAGGTGGTATTGTTGTACAATTATCTAGTAATAACATCTCATAAGCAAAGGCAACATAAGTTCATGAGTTCCTTCTAACGCGTCTCACGAATTCAGCATTGTGGGTCGATCAATGCTCCTCTTCACTCTCTTGCTTCCCCAGATTCCGTCTTGGTGACCAATGTCGCGCAATTCCTGTTAGTTTCCCGCATAAGAGTCCGTTGTTCTCGCAACCCAGCCAGCCGGAATGGCGGCAACAGGCGTCGCCGTCACTCGTGCCGCGGCCACGTACCCGTGCAACGCATTGCCAATGAACTCGACAAGAACTTCCTCGCGAGTTCATTTCACGCCTCCTAGAACCACCTCGCGCGCTCTCTTACTAGGACCGCAAGCCAGCGTGGTCGACGGCGTGGCGACCCGAGCCTCGTTTTTAACTAGCAAAGCCGCATTCTCTGGCGGATTTTCCGCCGCTAATTTCGGCACAGCGACGCCGAGTCTGTCAGGCGGGCGCCGGAGCGTCATCCGCGCATCCGCGGGGGATCCGGAAGGCGCGGGGAAGAGCGCAGGGGGAAAGGCGGAGGAGCGCGCGGGGCCGACAGCGGAGACCTCTCCGCTGGTGCGCTTCGCGTGGTATGCGTCAGAGGCGTTCGGGAAGGCGGTGGCGGCGGTCCGCGGGGGGGAGGCGGAAGGCGGAAGGGGGAAGGGCGCAACGGCGGAAGGGGAGCCCGCGGTGGCTGAGCGCGACGCGGCGATTAAAGCGCTCAGGGAAGACTATGACAAGTCGTACTTCGTGACAGGTGATACGTGGCAGATGGGGATTGGCGGGACGGCATGTGGCAGATGGGGATTGGTGGGACGGCACGTGGTAGATTGGGATTGGTGATTTGAATCTTATGCATATCTTATTTTGTCTTTGTAAGTCGCTTGCACTCTATATCCTCCTTCCACCCTCAACACCCCCCCCCCCCCTCCCCCGCTTCTCTCCCCCTCCCCTCCCCTCGCCTGCCTTGCCTATTTGCCTGTGTTTGCCTCCCAGGCGAGATGACCATGTGGTTGTACGAGCCAGATTGCGAGTTCGCCGACCCCTTTGTGTCGTTCAACGGCCGAGATCGATTCAAGCAGAACGTGTCCAACCTCGGGTCGTTCATGGAGGAAGTTTCTCTGAAGATTCTCGACCGGCAGGAATCAGAGGTATTGAAATCCGACTACACTGCCTGAATGCTCCCTCTGATTACTCCATTCCTCCATCTGACTAACATATTCTTTCATTTCCTGTTCACTTCTATATTGCATTCCCCAATGTAAACAATTGTGTCAATGTAACCGCAGGGCACGGTTACCACCAAGTGGAGATTCAGCTGCGTGTTGGGCCTGCCATGGCGCCCCATTCTTGCTGGTAAGCCCTCTCCTTTACATGGTTGCGGCGATGAGTGGCATGTCACATTCACGCTCTTCACACGCTTTCCAGTGCTCATGTCTTTTGAGACGTCTCTAAAGCCATTCTTGCTTGTAAGCCCTCTCCTTCCCAACTTAGTCGCGATGAGTGGCATTGCTCGTTCACACTCTTCACACGCTTTCTATTGCTTATGACTCCCTCCTAAATGCCACTCTTGTGTGTCTTTCTGCCCATCCCTGTCATCTGCAATCCCCTCCCTATCCTCTCTACCTGCCCTCCCCTCTCTTCTTCGTCTTCTTTCCTAACAGCATCCGGGTCGACAGACCATTTCTTCAACGAATCGACAGGAAAAATATACAAGTAAGCAAGAAACACTCAACCGGCGTATTTCTTTTCTTATGTATTTTCCAACTTGGAAGATGGATTGCTGACTTGACATTGCCTTGGCGTGCAGTCACCATAACACAGTTCCTCCTCTCGCGTAAGACGTTTGAGTCGACTCAAAAGTCAGCTGGCTTGCTGACTTGCCATTGCCTTGGCGTGCAGTCACCATAACACAGTTCCTCCTTCTCACGTAAGATGTCCGTCTCCGCCTGTCCAATCCATGATCTCGTCTCGTCCCATGTATATCTCCACCTCTCCTCTCGAGTCGAATCAAAAGGTGACTTTTGAGTCGACTCAAAAGTCACACAGATCCTCCTTCTCACGTAAGATGTCCGTTTCCGCCTGTCCAATCCATGATCTCGTCCCTTGTACGGTACATCTCCACTCCACCTCTCCTCTCACCAGGCATGTGGAGCGGTGGGACATTTCCCCTGCAGATGGCGTCAAGCAGCTGCTCAAGACAAACCCTAAACTCAAAAAGTGTATGCTCACTGTCCACCCCACCATGCCCCCTCCTCTCACCCTCTCACCAGGCACGTGGAGCGGTGGGACATTTCCCCTGCAGATGGTGTCAAGCAGCTGCTGAATGGACACCCATCCCACCCATCCCATACCCTTCTCTCACCCTCCTTCGCCCTCTCACCCTCTCACCAGGCATGTGGAGCGGTGGGACATTTCCCCTGCAGATGGCGTCAAGCAGCTCCTCAAGCCCAACCCTAAACTCAGAAAGCGCTAGTTTGCACTGCAGTCCACCTTTTCCCTCCTCTCACTTCGTCGGAAACCAATTCTTAAACTGCAACCACTGGGCTGGGTGCAAGCAAGTACACAGCACCTGCTGCTGTGTTCAGGAGTGTAAAGGCTCAGCTAGAGTGTATACACTTGTGTTATCATTATTGCTTGTTGTAGCCTATTTGTGTGATGTATATTGCATGCTTGCTTCACATGTAAACAATTCTGGCCATTCTGGGCTTACAGAATGAGGACACCCACATTGGCTAGGAAAAAACAACTAAGGACCCTAGGCCTGGCATGTGATATCTTGAAGTCATGTCAGGCCGAGCTGGGACCCATGGTCATAGCCATAGTTTTCATTTTGTTGTGACTGTAACATAATGTACCGGTAAGAGTCTTGACTTTACTGCACACTGTCGAGTGCGCATCAAAACTTATGGTTCTGCTCCCCACTCAGGTGAGCTTCATGATGCCGGGGAAAGACGGGCGAATGGCTGCCAGGGGCTCACCGTAGCCCACGGGGACTGTTGGAGGGAGATGGGAAAGAGGACCAGAAGAAGAGGGTAAGGGAGGAGGGAGCTTGGTAAACGAGGCGTCCTACAAGGTAACACACCCCACTCAGGTGAGCTTTGTGATGCCGGGGAAAGACGGGCGAATGGCTGCCAGGGGCTCACCGTAGCCCACAGGGACTGTTGGTGGGACATGGGGTAGAGGAAGGGGGGAAGGGGATGATGAGACGAGGGGAGAGGGAAAATGGAGGAGAGAGGAAATAAGGGTGGATGGATGGATGGATGGCAGCACGAGGATCGCTATACCTCTAAGGAACTGAAGGTATGAGGACGGAGCAAGGGAAGAGTGAAGATTAGAGTGTTTTGAGCAGACTAAGAGCACAACAGGAATATAGGAAGAAATACCTCCATAACAGCATTTTCCACCTGCACAGCCATTTTTCAACTCGCCTCAACAATTATGCCTCCCCAATCCTCGCTCCCCTCCCCTCTTTTCCTCAACCCTCAACCAGTAGCACAGAGCACACAGAACGCACCTCCATCCTCCACCAGGAAGTCTACCACTGTGCCGGCATGCTCCGTCTGCAGCAACCTATTTGGATTGACTCAAGACTATTTGCACACAGCACACTACAGAGCACACAGAACGCACCTCCATCCTCCACCAGGAAGTCTACCACTGTGCCGGCATGCTCCGTCTGCACAGGGACGGAACAGCAAGGAAAGAGCAATGAAACAGAGACAAAACAGCGTTGACGAAGCAGCACCAGCAACATATAGCACCCATTCCACCCTCCGCCGCCCCCATCCCACCCTCCCTCCCATGTACCTCAATTGCCAGATTGGTGCCGAGGTGCTCCAGGAAGCACATGGGCTGCCCTTTCTTCACCACCAAGTGCGCACATCAGTGGATGTAGCCCCTTAAACCCCCCTGCACCCCTTTGCAACCTCGTGCACCCCCTTGCACCCCCCGTTCTCTGCCTATCAGCCCTCCGCCGCCCCTACCCCACCCTCTCACATACCTCGATCGTGAGGTTGGTGCCCAGCTGTTCCAGGAAGCACATGGCCTGCCCCTTCTTCACCATCAAGTGCTAGCCTGGTCTGTACCCCCCCACTCCCCGTGCTCTGCCTATCAGCCCTTTGCTGCCAATACCCCTCCATCTCACAAACCTTGATCGTGAGGTTGGTGCCCAGCTGCTCCAGGAAGCACATGGCCTGCCCCTTGGTGACCAATGAGTGCTGACATGGGCGCATAAAAAAGATACCCCCTTGCACCCCCTTGCACCCCCTTGCACCCCCTAGCGCCAACCAGTATGCCTCACAGCGCGTCCTCACCCCTATCCCACCCTCTCCCACGCCCACCTCGATCGTGAGGTTGGTGCCCAGCTGCTCCAGGAAGCACATGGCCTGCCCCTTCTTCACCACCGCTCCCTGTCGTTACGAGTGGGGTGAAAGGGGGGGGAAAGGGGGGGGGGGTGAGGGGGGAGGTACGTGATGAAGGGGAAAACGCACAGGATATATCTTAGCTGCTCCAGGAAGCACATGGCCTGCCCCTTCTTCACCACAGCTCCCTGTTGATAGGAGACGGGTGAGAGGGAAAGGGGGAGAGAGGGGGCGAGGGAAAGGAGTAGGGGAAAGGGGGGTCGAGGGGAAGCAATAGGGGCAAGGGGGGCAAGGAAGGACTGGAGTGAGGGGGGTTGAGGGGAATGAGCGAGGGACTTAGGGAGTGGAGTGGGGTGGAGAGGAAATTGTGTGTGCGTCTATACCAAGTGCTATGTGCCTCCTTCTATACTTGTGATAGACACACACACACACACACACACACACACACACACACACAAAATTGTACCGTGCATGCTTGCGTGATAGATTCACTGAAGCACACCACATATTTAAGAGGAAATTACCCTCTCCCAAAACCGAGTACCGCACTGCACCGCACTGTACCTCGAGCACAATTGGCCGGCCGTGCTTGCCCTTGTACAGCTTGCCACGTCGCATGATACCCACCTGGCAGGGGGAGAGGACGGGGGCCGGGGAGGGGGGCGGAAGGGAGGGGAACGGGTACAGGGAAGGGTGCGAAGGAGGGTGGGGATGAGGGTGCGCGGAAGAGTGTCAGGATGGGTGCGGGGAAGGGTGGGTGGGATGGTGCGAAGGAGGGTGGGGAGGAGGATGGAAATGAGGAGCGGGGAAGGATGGAGGGGCGAGTGGGCAGGGTATGAGCGCGAAAGAGGATCAGTCGCAGAAAAGAAGTTGCCAGGGACGACATGACGTGACGTGACGTGACGTGACGCGTGACGTGACATGATGTGACGTGACGTGACATAGACAAGGCCTCGTCCTTGGGTTTCTCCGGCTCAGCCACCACCTCTACCACAGGCTCCGCGGCAGCAGCAGAGGCAAGGCAGCAGCCGAGACAATGTGATGGGGAGAGGGGGAGGAATGGACCAACTCTTACCCGGGGGGACGTGACATAGACAAGGCCCTCGTCCTTGGGCTTCTCAGGCTCAGCAGCCACCTCCGCCACAGGCTCCGCGGCAGGGAGGGACTCCGCCATGGGGAAGGCGGGCACTGGCGCAGCGTACACCACAGGAGCCGCGGCGGCCGCGGCGGAGGCCTCAGCAGCAGCCACGGCATGCCCGATGCTGCCATCCACGTCCCGCTTGACGTGCAGGGAGAAGGCGCCGACCTGGTGGTGGTCAGAGAGGGGGGAGAGGAAAGAGGGGGAGATGGAGGAGAGAAAATGCAGGATGTCATTCCATTCCACAACATAATGAACTTCAATGCTTGCTACTTAGAATTTCATTTGCATCCGTACCTGCGTTTCGAGTGTTTGTTCCCGTACCTGAGGGCTTGCTTCGGTCGTCCCGTACCTTGAAGAAGAGTTTGCTTTGGTCTTGCAGTACCTGAAGGCGTGATTTGGCCCTCCCGTACCTGCGTGCTTGTTTTTGTCCTTTTGTAACTGAGTGCTCGCCCCGGTCCTTCTATACCTGAGTGGTTGCTTCCGTCCTCAGTACCTGAGTGCGTCCTTCGGCCCTCCGGTACCTGAGCGCTTGCTTCGGCAGTACCGTACCTTGACCTTAAGCTCGGCGATGTGAGTCTCGTCGCAAAGCTCCATCAACAGGGACTGCACCTGAGGGCGAAAGGGCAGGCCATGGAGCATGGGCACGGGGCATGGGGCATGGGGGAATAAACATGGAGTGAGTCTCGTTGCAGGCACCGAGTATCGTCGCATACCTCCATCAGCAGGGACTGCACCTGCGGGCGAAAGGGCAGGCCATGGAGAATGGGGCATGGGGGAATAAACATGATGGAGTGAGTCTCGTTGCAGGCACCAAGTCTCGTCGCAAAGCTCCATCAGCAGGGACTGCACCTGAGGGCGAAAGGGCAGGTCATGGAGCATAGGGCATGGGGCATGGGGGAATAAACATGATGGAGCGAGTCTCGTTGCAGGCACCAAGTCTCGTCGCAGAGATCCATCGGCTGCGACTGCACCGTACCTGACGGGGATAAACGCGATCGGGGTGACGGAGAGAAGAGGATGTGATGTGACGGAATACAACGAGAATGCGACGCAACGGAAGGTGAGAGAGGAGAACTAACGAGATGAGACAGACAAGGGTAGTGGAATGGCGCGGAGGAACGACGGAGGCATCACGGGAGAAGTCAGAGAAACGAGAGTATCGCGGCGGAATGCGGAGAGGAGTGGGTGAGTGACGCGAGGTAACAAGGAGAGGAGAGCAACCCGACGGGAACGAGGAGTGGGAGGGAACATACCTCGTCCACTGTCGGCGCGGCCACAGCTGCGCCATTGCTCAGCTCCTCTGCCTCAACCGCCACCTCCTTCACGGCTCCTGAATACATTATTAAAGGAGAAAGTGAGTGAGGTCAGACAGGAGTAAAATTTTGCGACGTCTCAAAAGGCTGCGCCATTGCTCAGCTCCTCCGCCTCAACCGCCACCTCCTTCACGGCTCCTTATTACACACACACACACACACACACACACACACACACACACACACACACACACACACACACACACACACACAAAGGTGAGGCTAGACAGGAGTGAAAAGCTGTATACACGCACACAGAAACCTATAATTAGTATAGTCATCCTGAAAAAACGAAAGAGTACAGCACCAGGCTTGCATAATACAGGCGAGCAGTCACAAACAGTCGACTACAATCAGTTTGAATGCGCTCGGGAGGTTGTGAGCGGTTGCGAGTGCGCTTACCGTCCTCGACAGCAGCAGCGCGGCAGCGGAGGAGGTGGGTGCGAACCGCGCGGGGAGCGGCGGAGAGGGGAGCGGGGAGAGGCGCGGGGACGGCGGAGCGGGCGAAGCTGGTGGAGGCGGAAGCGGCGGAAGCTGCTCTGCTGGCAGTGAGCGCTGCTGTGGGGACGGCTGAGAGGGAGAGCATGACGGGGAGTGGGAAATAGAGGGATAGGATACGGATGGTTGGTCGGTAGAGCGATAGAAAGACGAATGGGAAGCAAGCAGATAGTAACTGCATTTCTGGTGATCAGACTGCTGTGGGGATGGCTGAAAGAGATGAGAATGAAGAGGGGATATATTGATCGAAGGACGGGATAGTGGTGTGTAAGCAATAACGAGTTAGCCACGTTACGCATGAAATAGTGATGGTGGCTGTTCGTTCAACGGAAAAGTCTGCTGCGATAATGCTTGAGAGAGCTGGACGAGAGTGAATATCACGAGCATGACAGAAGACAAATGTGAGCTTTTAGGCGTTGGTGTGCCGCGCTGCCTACGAAGAACGCTAGGGTTTGTCCCGAAACTCGGAACGCAAGATACTGATGCAGTCTTTCAGGTTTGCGCGAACCTGTTCCAGCTGCGATGGTCGCCATTGTGATTATATCGGTGGTGGAGGCTGTCGGAGGATGACGCTGCAGCAGCGATCAGGCTCTTAGCACCCGACGAAATAAAGCCGGCCGATTAGGGATCGTTAGGAGCGAGAGCTGGGTGGCTGCTGCTGGTCAGGAATACCTATTACACCTAGTCCGCGGTATTTTAACCGCCGCTATCTTAACCATGCGGGGGTACTACTCCGTGGTCAAGTTTGAATACAAGGGTAGTTTAACCGATTTATGAGGGTAGAGTTACGCGTCCCCTTCGCGAGGTCACGTCAGTTGCAACTCTTATGATGGCAAAGCGCCCCCAATTTCGGAGCACTAAGTGTGGGTTTTCCAAAATAGAAGTGTCCCGGCTGTATTATAATAGTCCCGAAGTCTCTGGGTGCCCATCCCATTGGACGAAAATGCACACAGGATGTTTTAAACAAAAAAGTTCACGTGGTTAAAATACCGCGGACTAGGTGTACTCCGATTGAAATGACCAACTTATTCCGACCGAAGTCAGGCTCACTGCTTTCTGTGCAAACCTGGGTTTGGTGGATGCAGGAGGTTTCAGGATCACTCATGATCACTCATCCACCCAACTCAGAAAGCTGCTCTGTTCACGGCGATCACCATACCCAACCGTTTTAAACGTATTCAAGAGGGCTTCAGATTCCTGCAAAGCTGTGTGAACCGTAATAATACTGCGCACTTCAAAAACGGCTTGTGCATGATTGAAGTCAAGTGTCACTGCAGCAGCACTGGTTGGCATTCTGGGAAAAAGGGGATCCCAAGAATTTGACGGAGACGATGACGGACGGACAGGTGTAGGCCGTCAGTTTTTTCACGTCGGGAGCTCAGGGCCAATGGTGAAGGCAGATGCAGTTGCGTCCTGACGGTTTCTTCGCCAGTACACTGTCGACGTTACCCCACAAATGCGTCTCGCCAGCGGGGATGATCATCCGACGTGTCATGGTGTTGCGTGAGTGGTTTGAGCGCCAAGGTCGATCCACTAGCCATCTGATGTGAGATCCGGACCCTGGATAACTGACGGCTGGCAACGGTTTGATAGTCCCTGCGTGGCTGTGACACTTCAGTCACATCACTAAAGGAAATATCCGCGATGAAATAATTCACTTCAAGTTCTGGTGTATAGTTAGTATATCGTATATACGATACAAAACTCATAGCTGGAGTTTTTTTTTTTTTTAGATGCTTTAAAAGACATTACAGGAATGCTTTAAGACGACATCGTCAGTCGTAACTGTGTAGGTAGGGGAGGGCCATGGTTACTGTAACCACGGTTCCCCTTTCGCAGCTTACGGTGGTTGATGCGTCAACCGCGGGTTGTCCCAGAGGGAGCTGAAACATATCCTCTACGTCAGCGGCGCAGCTTTGCTGCAGATCCTCCTCATAACTTTTGCCTCGTCAGCCTCCAGATGTGTCCATGCGTCACCAATTACCGGCTCTCCCCTCTTCCTGGCTGTAATTTCCCGCTTCAGGCAGTACACCCGTGCATGCGCGACAAAATTCACCACCACCCGCCGTATCACTCTCTTTGTCTGGAAACGGATGTTGTGCAGATTCGCGTCACACCTTGCCAGCCAGACTTGGTGAAGTGTGGTGGCAATGAAGGAACTTTCTGGAAACCCCGACTTCGAACTCCTCTGCATGAACAGCAGGTCCTCCAAAATCTCCCAGCGTTTCTCCGGATTCATCGCTGCCAGCACATCTTTCAGAAAAAACACCACCTTTTGTATTGCCGGGCAGCCAAACAGGCAGTGCTCCGGCGTTTCTTCTCCCTTGCAGTGCGGACAGACAATTCTGTGGTGCAGAAACTGCAACCTCGTGCCCACTTGCAAATTTCTACAATGCAGCATCAGCAGGACGTCACGTGCTCTGGCAGGGGTGGCAAGGGAGTCCCTCTGCCTGATGACCTCGTCCCACCCAATCACTGCCTGTCCTTCCCATCTCCTTTTCCCTTTTGCCGTGCCAGCTGAGCTTTGCAGAGCCCTTCTAACTTCTCTCAGCGGCAACACCACTCCGTTCTTGCACAACCGTGACTGTTGTAGCTTCGTTCGGGCCTCTCCCATCGGTCCGAGGATCTTAGACCCCTGCGCCGCCATCGGTACTATCAAGCTGCTCCGCGGGTCGAGAACCACCGTTAGGTTAGCCCCTTCGCAAACACTGTAAGTCCCCGCGCTGTCAACCTGGCACAGCCTCCCTTTGACACTCGCATCCGTGGTACCGCACACCTCCCAGTATGAGGGTGATGCAGCCGCCCTTCCTTGCGTCCGTAACAGAGGTACTACCGCTGCCACCCCTTCACAGGTAGGTGCGGCCAGCAGAAGCTCCTTCCACTCCCGCGGAGCCGCGTCGAAGGCTTTTAAAGCCCACTTTGCCGCTTCCTCGCTTCCCATCTCACTCTCCAGCAACTCCAGGCTCTTAAGCACGCGCCCGCCGCTGTGACTCTCCCAGACTACGTCGCCCATCCTCATCTCCAGCAGGCAGGTCGACCCCATCTGATTCCCAAAGGGGCTGGCTCCTCTGAAGGGTATTCGTCGGTTGAAAACTAGCCGCTCCTTTTTCACTTCCCACCTCGTCCTTGGTTCCGGTGGTGTGCTGAGGGGCGTTTCCCAGAAGGACTGAAACATCTCTTTACATCTCCTGCTACCTTCTCCCCAATGTCTTAGCAGGGATTTGTGAGCGAACAACGTGTCCAGGCCCAGAGGCAGAGTGGCCGCCGCCAGTGCCAGCCACCTCTTGACCGAGTCCTGCAGCAGCACCAGTCTCCCGATATTCTGCGCCGCGATGCTGTCAAACATCTTCTTGGGACAGATCATCCCCAGCCCGCCCTCCTTCCTCGGAGTGCACATCAGCTCGTAGTTCCATAGCTTGAAACTTTTCCCCTCCGCCATCTGGCCGCCCGAGACAAAGCTGTGACAGATCCTTTTGACCTTCACCCAAATCTCCTCCGGCGGCGGGTAGACTTGCGCCTGGAACAGAAAAATTGGTGTGATGTACCCGTTGATGATGGTGACACGCGCCGTTGTTGTTAAGTGCTGAACCTCCCATCTTGCTAATTCCGCCCTTGCCTTGTCCAGCGCCTTTTCCCAGGATGGCAGCGGATCACCGTTCGGCGTGATCCAAATCCCCAGCAACCGTTCTGGCTCCCCCTTGTCCGCCCATTTATACTGCAGGCCCGGCGGCGGCTGACTGTCTCTGTTCCTTCCCAGCGGAAAAACGACCGTTTTGCTCCGGTTGACCTTCAGACCGGACTCTTCTCCGAATTTCTCGAGCACCTCCGTTGCCGCTGCCAACTGCTCTTCTCCTTGCAACAGAAGGGATGTGTCGTCCGCGTACCCCAGGTACGCCAGTTTCTCCATTCCAGGCTCCCCTATCCCCAAGTTCCGCCTTGCAAACTCTTGACACAGCGGCTCTACGGCGCAGAGGAAAAGGTAAGGCGCCAGCGGGCACCCTTGCCGCACCCCCTGGTTTACCGCAACCGCCTCGCCTGTCCACCCGTTTACGTGTAACCTTGTGCCTGCTTCACTGTGCAGGCCCTCCGTCCACACCATGAAGGACTCCGGGATCCCCACCCCCCTCATCGTACGGAGCAGATACCGTCTCGAGATTGAGTCAAATGCTTTTTGAAAATCCACCATGAGCAGCAGCCAATCTTCCCTGCCGCTTGCTCCCGCTTTAATAGCGTCCGCTACTACCGCCACTGCATCCGCCAGCTTCCGCCCAGGTATAAAGCCCACTTGATCCTCCGAGATCACCTCGTGTAAAACTTTTTTAAGTCTGCTGGCCATCACCTTCGCGACCACCTTGTAGAGTGTGCTTAACAAGGTTATGGGTCTGTAATTGCCTAAGTCCTCCTTGCTCCCCTTCTTGTGCAGGAGGATATTTACTGCCGTGCTGATGGTCCGTGGCAGCTTCCCGGTGCGCACAAACTTCTCAACGAAGCCCATCAGCGCCGGTCCGAGTACATCCCAGTTGTGCTCAAAAAGTTCTTTCGGGAGCCCATCAAGTCCTGGCGACTTCCCCGACGACAACTCCTTCACCGCCTTGTGCACTTCTTCCTCCGTCCATGGCGCACTGAGCGCTGCCTTGCTACTTTCCCCCAGCCTCCGCTCCAGTGGCTTAAGAGTGTCCTCCCCTGAGTCCTCCAGGGTAGCGGCGCCGAAGGCATCCCTGAAGAAATCAGTAGCTGCCGCAAGCACGTCTCTCGCTCCTGTGTAACTGACACCCTTGTGATTGACCTCCTTCATCTCCGTTTTTGCTTTCCGTATCTTTATTCTCCCTGACAGGAAACCAGTCGCCGCCTCTCCATCCAACTCCGCCGTCAGTCCTGCCCAAGTCTGCAGCTTCTCCTTGTGACTGTTGTCATAGGCCAGGAGCAGCTCCTCCTTTTTTAACAGGATGGATGCAGTGCGCTGGCAGCTCGGATTCGCCATCAAGCGGTATCGGAAAAGCCCCACTTCTTTGGACAGATGCGCTCTTGTGGCTTTCACCCGTTTCCTCTCCTGCCTCTCGTACGCCCTTAAACACGCCGTCAGACGTGGTAGTGCTGCGATAAGATCCCCTGCCGCGTCATCGAGCACCTTCTTGACGACCTTCCCTATCCCCTTTTTCTTTGCTTGGTTCCCCCGCAGCCTCCAGACCCCTGGGCCACGCGCAACCGCCGTGGACGATTCCAGCGACACCGCTACCGCATACCAGTGATCCGTCATATTATTCGTTATCTCCTCATGCCAGACGTCTACCAGCTTGCTCTGCAGCGGCTGCGAAATAAGCGCGCGGTCAATCCTCGTGCTCATCTGCTTCGCCTTAGAGTGGAAAGTGTACTCGCGCCTGTCCGGGTACATGAACCGAAACGCGTCTCTCAGGTATGTGCGCGGCCAGCACCCTAGCATCCTCTGATTCTCTGCAGCCGAGCCAGCTTTATTTGTCTTGTCCATTTCCGGATCCTACACCACGTTGAAATCTCCCATCACCAACACGTTCTATGAGTTGGGTAGTGAGCTGATGAAAGGCTCCAAACAGTCCCTGTAAAAAGGGCCTCTGCTACACGGCTGCGCCGGGAGGTAAACTGCCACCAGGAGCAGCTCCACATCACCCCACTTCACCATGACGCCGATTAATCTCCCAGATGGGTGCACGTAAGTTTCGTTGAAATTCATCCCAGGTATGAAGCTCAGGACCGCGACACCCCCGGCCGTTTCTGCGGGTCCGACTGCTACTTTCGCCGACGGCTTAAGTTGAGTCCAAAAGTTATGATCTGCACCAATCCTCGTGTCCGTGAGTATTGCAATGTCTGTTTTGTTCCGCAGCCAGTCCCTGCATTTAATTCTCTTCCCCTCACTGCCGAGTCCGTTGATGTTGAACCCGCAGAAAGTTATGGAGTGCTTCTTATTCATTGATCAACCACGAGGAAGCCCCTTCGCATCCACGGGCTGTAAGAAAACAGGTTACATCGGGAACATCACACAGAGATACTACTGCTAAACTCCTGCTGCAACCAGTACCGCTGCTGACAGCACCACTCCCTTGCTGGCCTGCCTCCTCAGACAGCACCTTATTCACCTCCATCCTTTCTGCAACTCCTGCATCTACCCCTGCACAGTGCTCTTGAAGAACTCCTTGCGGAAAGCAGGTAGGTTGATTGCACTCTTGCTGGCACGCGTGGCCGCACCCGGCTTTGTCAGGTTGGTCTTGTGGCGAAGGGAAGCGACGTGAGCCGACGCCTGTTCGAAACTGGAACCCTGCGCCTTCTCGCAAGCCGCGACAACACAGACCCAGTCTTCCCTCGACCCCCCTGTGGAGGTGAGAACAATAGCAGGGTCTTTGAGAATCTCTCGCAGCATAGTGGTTGCTTTCAGTGAGGCCGCTGCGGGGTAGGGAAGGTAACAAGGCGTCAGTACGTGAGGACTCAGAGACAAGGAGTGCGGAAGAAAGCGGAAAGATAAGCGAGACATGAAACTGGCCCACGCTGATACCATTGATCTCATGGACCTTCCTAACGGTCAGGTTCCATTTGCCGATGTTTGCCTGCCGCTCCGTGACGTAAGCATTGTGGAACTGTGTCTTGTGGTGGCCGTTGCAGAGGTCACAAGTCAGCGACGGGTACTGCACCATCAGCCTCTTTGTGTTGTCCGAGGGGTCCGTAATAGCGTGCCTCCATGGGTCTGTGTCACCCGCGTGCGGGACCACCAAGCCTTTAACCTTGTCAGTATCCATGCCTATTACTGTGTCTTGGACTCTGTGGAAACCGAAGCCAACGTTAAATGCACACCTCCCCTTCTTCAGCAACGGAATCTCAACGAGCATCTTGCGGATTAAATCAGGTGAGACGCTGGCCGGGACCATCCTCAGGACCACCTCAACTGCCTCCGGATGCAGATGTCGCTCACGCTTGTAAGCTGCGTTCTCCGGGTGCTGCCAGTCCAAGGTGAGCGACTTGCCCTTTCCCAGACCGCATCCAGACGAAATCCGCATCACGAGCATGCTTGAAAGTGACCTGCAGGCGACCATATCTCTTCTTGGATAACCATGCCGCCGACAGGACCTGATACTGCGTTGTCTTCAGAACGTCAGCAGACAGAGAGGTCTTCCAGAAATCAAGGTGAGCAATAACCGTGGCCTTGGTCTTCGGAACTTCACTGAGGTAATCAACAGGGATTAGTAGCGTGATAGGGAAACTGATCTCAGCAGAGAGCAGGCTGACAGCAACCGGGTCAAACTCATCGTCGGAGTCACTGTCCCACCACTGATCGTTCGTTTCCTCATTAATGTCCTTCCCCTTGTTCAGTACAGGAGCCGCTGACGGATCATTGACTGTTGATGTCCCCGGAGCCGGTTGCGGAGAAGGAGGCAGGGGAGGGTCACTCTTGCTTCCTTCCGCCTTGTTATCCTTCAGCCCATTTTCCTTAAGTGCAGAGAGGCGTTCAGTCAGCGTCGTACGCGCCGCGTCATCCAGCGACGGCCTTTGAAGCACCAACGGAGACGCTGAAGCGGAGACCAGCGGACTCTTGATCAGCGGAGTGTTGTCTGCAGTTGTCTGAGGAGTAACTTCATCAGTAGCGTCGTCAGGGAGAATCGACTTCCCGCCTTGCTTAGCGCCTGGTTTACGACCCCTTCCGTTGGCCATCGTGCGATGATGAGAGCGCGTTGACAGGCTAAGAATGCCTGATGCCTGATAGCTCCTGAGCACAATAAACGCACCCAGGCCTGTGATAATGAAGGTGTTGCCAGCCAAGTGTAATATAGCTTGGTCCTTTGATACGGGTGAAACCGATGTACGAGCCGATAAGCCGTAATCTGGCGGCTCTGGATCCCATAGCCAATCCTGCGTAAGAATGAGATTCCTAGGCAGCCATAAAGATACCACTGTCAGACCCTTGGTGTTAGTTCCGAAGTTCCCTGGAACCAGATAAGAGGTTACAATGTTCCATGTATGACATTGGTAGCTCCGTAGTTGAGCTGGCAGCCATGGCGGAGAGCTCTAGGGTCACTTAGGTGGCGGTGGTGGCGGATCCTTCCTGTGGGAGTTTTCATAGCTGGATTGTGTTCTGGGTAAAATCTGGGCAAATTCCTAGGTGGCTGCTTGCCAGGTCAGTTAGCAGATTTCCTACGTCAAAACTCGTGTCTAGGAAATTTCCCACCTCGGCACATCATCGACCACGTCAGTCAGCGAGATCGACGGTCCTGAAGCCTTGGTGGTCCCAGATCTTGAAGTTCTCGAACACCTCGAATATCCTGGAGCGCCTCGCTGATGCGGTAACAGGCGAAATCCGGCAGCAATTCTCTCATTCTACTTTCATTGAAGCGAAAGAAACACGGAACCGTGAATCTCGCACGGGGCGAATCGTGTGGGAGAACAACGAACAGGACTACAGGAATTTCAGCACCCAGCCGTTCCTATTTTAGTTCCAGACAGCCCAGCCCAATCTTGAAATTCAGTAGTTTATGGAGCATCTGTAACTTCAGGAAGAAGAGAAGCTGCTCCTACAAAATCCGTTTCATGCTCGTTTGCATTCTCTCACCTGTCGCCTTCCCTCGTCCTCGCGACCAAGTGGCTGAACGCTTCGCCCGTTGTGTGCGTTTTAACGAAATAATGGCTTCTGCTTCTGCTGTCAGCATGTCCTGCGGCATCAGGCTCGCCCCGTCCACTCTCCAGGTATACTCTCCACAATTGGGTACAATGACACTTTGTACCGAATTTCAACTCAAAATTCAAGCAAACATGTTATCTTTGCTGATGCTGTCTCATTGTTCCTCTTCGCTATTACGCGTTCCGCAGAAGCCTTCAGTGGTCTTGGCGTCAAAGACGGCGTTCATCCCGTCGCCGCTGCCTCTTACCGCGTACGCTTCTCGTTCCAAGAACGTCCGTTCCCGCGTCGCGACACGATGCTCGGCTTCCATTCATGCCGCTATGGCTGGTAGGCCTGTCGATATTTATAAAATTACCACGCGACAAGATTCTACAACGCATATACCTGTTCTCATCCAGTTTCTCATCAAAGCAGCAAGTGCTCGTAAATTACAGCCTAGCTTTTTGTTCGTTTCCCAATTTTGCTTAATGTCATCAATTCTTTAAATTGCTTATTTATTTGTTTGCAGTGTCTCCATCGGAGCTGGACGTGATCTCGAGGAGCAGCGAGATCGTTCCCGATTCAATCGTCGGCGGCCAATTTGAGAGGTGAAACAATGTTGCCAAGTCAATTTGCAATATTTTACTTTCACCTTCTGTCGTATACCTTCACAATGTGTAACCCTTTGCCATTTGTTACAAATTGTAAACAATCTTTCCAGCTTCAAGCCCACTGCGGCGACCGTGTCGTCGTCTCTCATCCTTGGCGTTTCGTCCTTGGGGGAAGCTAAGTACGACGTGATTGCGTGCGTGCGTGCGTGCGTGCTCGTATGGGATTGTGTTTGCTTCGGATTGTGCTCGTGTGAGAAAGTGATCCTGGCCGTCAGGCAGTCTCTGTCCGTCCATACAAGCAATCCTGGCCGTCCTTACCGACAGACCCCCTTACTCCCGCGCGCGCGTGCAGGGAGCGATCAAGAGCGCGTTGGCGTACGGAAAGTGCATGGTGGCGCCGGAGGCAAACAAGTTTTCCTGCTTCCTCGATAAGGTCAGATTCGCTATTGAATTGATATACCCGGAAATATTTTATGATAGAGAATGTGAATCGTTGAAATGAGTTTCTCTACCATGGGGAATCGTTCCTATAGTGTGGTCTCATTCCAAGCATGAATGTAAGTATGAATTCCCTAGGTGAAATTCAGAAGCGAGCATCAGTTGACTTGATGTCAGCTGATTATGAGAAGGCTTACGACGATGAACGATCCTGAGTTTTGAGACGTCAAAACTTGGTCACATAGTAAACAAAAGGAGGTCTACTTCTAGCTGAAAGATGCAGAGATCCTTTTTTTGCTAATCCCTTGCACACACATGCACACACTCATGGCGGCCATGCTCACAGTCCTGCCACCTCCACACTCATTGTGCCAAAGTGGTGAGCATTATTCGTGCGGACTGCTTTTCAATGTTATGTTGTGCCTTACTGTATAATTCAATTGTATGTTGTTTCGTGTGCAGCACTGATTGCCTGGTGGTGCCCCTCAAGGTGATGGAGGCTCTGAAAGACACTCCCGCCTCTCCTGACCTTATTGTTGCTTTGTGCCTGTTCAATCGATTGTGTTTCCTGTGCAGCACTGATTGCCTGGTGGTGCCGCTCAAGGTGATGGAGGCTCTGAAAGACACTCCCGCCTCTCCTGACCTTATTGTTGCTTTGTGCCTGTTCAATCGATTGTGTTTCCTGTGCAGCACTGATTGCCTGGTGGTGCCGCTCAAGGTGATGGAGGCTCTGAAAGACACTCCCGCCTCTCCTGACCTTATTGTTGCTTTGTGCCTGTTCAATCGATTGTGTTTCCTGTGCAGCACTGATTGCCTGGTGGTGCCGCTCAAGGTGATGGAGGCTCTGAAAGACACTCCCGCCTCTCCTGACCTTATTGTTGCTTTGTGCCTGTTCAATCGATTGTGTTTCCTGTGCAGCACTGATTGCCTGGTGGTGCCGCTCAAGGTGATGGAGGCTCTGAAAGACACTCCCGCCTCTCCTGACCTTATTGTTGCTTTGTGCCTGTTCAATCGATTGTGTTTCCTGTGCAGCACTGATTGCCTGGTGGTGCCGCTCAAGGTGATGGAGGCTCTGAAAGACACTCCCGCCTCTCCTGACCTTATTGTTGCTTTGTGCCTGTTCAATCGATTGTGTTTCCTGTGCAGCACTGATTGCCTGGTGGTGCCGCTCAAGGTGATGGAGGCTCTGAAAGACACTCCCGCCTCTCCTGACCTTATTGTTGCTTTGTGCCTGTTCAATCGATTGTGTTTCCTGTGCAGCACTGATTGCCTGGTGGTGCCGCTCAAGGTGATGGAGGCTCTGAAAGACACTCCCGCCTCTCCTGACCTTATTGTTGCTTTGTGCCTGTTCAATCGATTGTGTTTCCTGTGCAGCACTGATTGCCTGGTGGTGCCGCTCAAGGTGATGGAGGCTCTGAAAGACACTCCCGCCTCTCCTGACCTTATTGTTGCTTTGTGCCTGTTCAATCGATTGTGTTTCCTGTGCAGCACTGATTGCCTGGTGGTGCCGCTCAAGGTGATGGAGGCTCTGAAAGACACTCCCGCCTCTCCTGACCTTATTGTTGCTTTGTGCCTGTTCAATCGATTGTGTTTCCTGTGCAGCACTGATTGCCTGGTGGTGCCGCTCAAGGTGATGGAGGCTCTGAAAGACACTCCCGCCTCTCCTGACCTTATTGTTGCTTTGTGCCTGTTCAATCGATTGTGTTTCCTGTGCAGCACTGATTGCCTGGTGGTGCCGCTCAAGGTGATGGAGGCTCTGAAAGACACTCCCGCCTCTCCTGACCTTATTGTTGCTTTGTGCCTGTTCAATCGATTGTGTTTCCTGTGCAGCACTGATTGCCTGGTGGTGCCGCTCAAGGTGATGGAGGCTCTGAAAGACACTCCCGCCTCTCCTGACCTTATTGTTGCTTTGTGCCTGTTCAATCGATTGTGTTTCCTGTGCAGCACTGATTGCCTGGTGGTGCCGCTCAAGGTGATGGAGGCTCTGAAAGACACTCCCGCCTCTCCTGACCTTATTGTTGCTTTGTGCCTGTTCAATCGATTGTGTTTCCTGTGCAGCACTGATTGCCTGGTGGTGCCGCTCAAGGTGATGGAGGCTCTGAAAGACACTCCCGCCTCTCCTGACCTTATTGTTGCTTTGTGCCTGTTCAATCGATTGTGTTTCCTGTGCAGCACTGATTGCCTGGTGGTGCCGCTCAAGGTGATGGAGGCTCTGAAAGACACTCCCGCCTCTCCTGACCTTATTGTTGCTTTGTGCCTGTTCAATCGATTGTGTTTCCTGTGCAGCACTGATTACCTGGTGGTGCCGCTCAAGGTGATGGAGGCTCTGAAAGACACTCCCGCCTCTCCTGACCTTATTGTTGCTTTGTGCCTGTTCAATCGATTGTGTTTCCTGTGCAGCACTGATTACCTGGTGGTGCCGCTCAAGGTGCTGGAGGCTCTGAAAGACACTCCCGCCTCCCCTGACCTCAAACCTGCAGCAGTCAGTGCAGCAGCTGACAAGGTAGGAGCTCAATTGCTGGTTGTGTGTGCATGTGCTTTGGTAATTGTGTCATGTCACGTACCGGTACACTCCTGCACCTGTTTCTCTTGCTACTCCAATCTTTCAAGTGTTTTTTCTACCATTTTTTCTCTAATGGACTCACTCGACTCCATGTGTTTTCTACTTTATTGCAGGTCAAGCCGTGGGACATGGCGAGGTTCATGGCCAAAATTGGTCCCTGCGCTCGGCAGCTGCTTCAGGCTGAGATTGATTCTGCTGTTTCTCAGGCGGAGAAGGTTGACAAGCACTTTAAGAAGATCTGGCCGCCCCCGAACGTGTGAAGGGCCAGAATATATTAATAATTGTGGTTAATGTAATTACATGGGCATCATGCCCCTCAGTCTGGTGTTTTTGTGTTATGCTTGTGTATATGAAAGGAAGTTGTTGTTCGGATGCTCTTACCGAATTCTGTATGTTAAAAGGCCATGGTATCTGCCCGTGGAATAAGTGTAAGAATGTAAGAGTAGATTGTTGAACTTATATATCCATGTGCACTGCTGAAGTGTACAGTTAGCATTGGACTTTTCATTTGCACAAATTCATCCCTTCCCCACCAACTGTGGCCATTCTCGATATCATCCTTCTCCTTCCGCCTTGCGAACAGTGCCACCTTCATTGCCACGCCTTCCAGAACAGCCGCATTGCTTCCCATCGGATTGGCCGCTCAGCTATTTTCATCTAGTCGCATGCCATAGCATTCAATTGTTGGCCCCCTTTACCATTGATGGCCGCCATTGCCGCTGCGTCTCTTCAAATTCCCGCAGCCGTAAGGCTCTCGTCTGCACTCGGCAGAAGGTCCCTTCAATCCGTTCTAAAGACTTCTTCGGCTGCCAGCAATAGCTTATCGCTCAGATACCTTTCTGAGAACCAAAGCGACTGTCTCTCGAAGCTGCCGCTTCAGCGATCTTCAGTTTGCAACGGAGCAGGTGCGACTATGTCGTGAAGCATTCGACGTGAAGTGAGGGTGTTTTTGAGACGTCTCAAAAACACCCTCACTTCATGCGACTATGTCGTGAAGCATTCGACACCCGCCCGCGTGAACATAATCTGTCGTGTGACACTGTAATGAGGGAACGTTCGAGTCCGCTCAAGCTACCTTGACTAGATCGTCACGCGATCACAATAACACTTTATTTTATGAATCTCCTTCGACTGCCAGCCTGACCGCGTCCTATCAGATAGAATTCTCCCTTTCTATTTATGTGGTCCGACGTGCATTGTCGCCATTCGCTCCGGTTTCAGGCCGTGAGACAAGGCTCCCCGCGATATTGTCTTCGCTGGCCAAGTATCAAGTAAAATTGACGGTTAACGTATAGTCCGAGTAATCTATTATAGTTTCAAATCACTCAAACGTGAATTTGTGCTTGATCGTCAGGATTGCGAACGACTTTTGTAATCCGTTTTCCCATTTGCTTCTTAAAACCCGGGGGCCAAGAAGGCCAAAATTGGTTCATCCTTCCTAGTGTTGGTTGGATGTCCCAAAAACGCCAGTGATCAGTCCCGAGTTCTAGACCTAGTCCAACATTTTCGACACTCCTATTGGTTCGCGGGCCTATAGCGTTTTCACTCCCAACCAACCTTCCTAAGGTTGAACTTCTTGGCCCGCGGGTTTTAACTGTAATTTCCGAATGCCATCTCTTGGACTCTGCAAATGGCATGCGCTTTCCAATGCCCCGCCTCATAAGCTTCCCATTCTTTCGTGTGGACTCAAATGTCACTACTGCTTTCCATTCACCAGTTCTGAAACAAAGCAATACTTGTTCAAATTCCAGATCCCGTCTCTCCTTCCGTACGTACGTTTCCCTATCCACGCCTCAGGTGCTTCCCATTCTCACTCTCTCAAGCACATCACAGCAGCTGCCGGCCACGCTTCAGCATTCAGCAGCCAAGGGAATACAGAGGGGAAGGAGGGAAAGAAGAGCAACGGAGCGGGGGACAGTCCGGTTGAGGGGGTGAGAGAGGGGGAGGGGGAGGGGGAGGGAGAGGAAAAGAGAGAGGTTGAGGGTGTGGGAAAGGAGGGCGAGGAGGTGGAAGAGGAGATGGGCGAGAGCGTGGCAGCAGCGCGAGTGCGGGTGAGGCATGAGCTGTACGCGCCCATTGAACCGTATCGGTCCGGCACCCTTGCTGTCTCGGACGTGCATACGGTCTACTGGGAGGAGAGCGGCAACCCCAATGGCCAGGTAAAACACATCTGCTAGGCGTAGCCTGGCAGCCCATGCTATCCGTAATCTCTCTCCCGGACCTTCATCTTCCGTTTCTCTCAACCATCCATCAATCATCGTTCTACCCTCTCCCAGCCTGTCATTTTCTTACATGGAGGCCCAGGAGGGGGCACATCACCGGCCAACAGGCGGTTCTTTGACCCGTTGTTCTTCCGCATCGTGCTGCTGGACCAGGCGGGGGCGGCACCGGCAGGAGCAGGACTAGGAGCACACCCCTTTTCCTTGTCCCATCCCCATTTCGCCCAATGCCACCCTTCCTTTTCCTGCAGCAGCCGGTCATTTTCTTGCACGGGGGACCAGGAGGGGGCACCTCCCCGGCCAACAGGCGGTTCTTTGACCCGACGTGCTTCCGCATCGTGCTGCTGGACCAGCGGGGGGCGGGCAGGAGCACTCCCCATGCGTGCCTGGAGGAGAACACCACGTGGCACCTGGTGGAGGATATTGAGACCCTGAGGAAACACCTGGGGGTTGACAAGTGGCTGGTGAGTCAGTGATAAGTGGTCGGTGAGTGGGGTGGGATGCTGGGTAGGGGTGCTTAGGGTGTGCTGAGTTGACTGCTCAATTTAAATCGTCGTTGCTTCTTATCAGCCAACCACTCTAAGTGTGTGTGTGTGTGTGTGTGTGTGTGTGCGTGTACACATGTGCATGTGTATGAGTGCATGTGCATGGCAGGTGTTTGGAGGGTCATGGGGCTCGACTCTATCGCTCGTGTATGCAGCCACTCATCCAGACAGGGTATGTGTGTATGTGTGTGTGAGGGGGGATGGTGAGAATGGCACGCGTGGGAGGGGGGGGGGGGAGGTGTTTGGAGGGTCATGGGGCTCGACTCTATTGCTCGTGTATGCGGCCACGCATCCAGACAGGGTATGTGTTCATGTGGGCATGGGGGGGGAGGCGGGGAAGGGGAGGTGGGAGGCGGAGGGTCGTGGGGCTCCACTCTCTCGCTGGTGTTTTCGAGTTTTTGTGTTGCATCCAGACAGGGTATGTGATTGTTTCACAGAAACTCGAAAGCTGTTGACTATTCGTTGAGCCACCTCAAGACACATTCAAGTCTTCTTTGTGTGCCATTTCTTTTACTTATTTAACATAATCAGCCTGAGCGAGCACACACATCTCGTACCCATGGTAACCCCCACCCATGTGACTTTTGAGTCGACTCAGCCTGAGTCAACTCAAAAGTCACATCATAGTCAGCCTGAGCACACACATCTCGTACGCCCCACCTCCTCTCCAGCTCTCCACCTACGCTTCCCCTCTCACACCTCCTGGTCGTGAGCTTAATTTTCCACGAAATCTTTCTGCTGAGAGATTTGCGCCTTCCCCCCAATCCCCGCATTCCCCCCCACACTTCCCCTCTCACATATCCAGGTCGCAGGGTTGATTCTCCGGGGAATCTTCCTGCTGAGAAGGAAGGAGGTGGAGTGGTTCTATCAGAAGGGAGCAGATTCCATCTTCCCCGACGGTGAGAGAAAGTTGGATGGTGAGGGGATGCGCCATGGCATAGCATGTCACAAGCAGCCTCCTCAAAGGTGGAGTGGTTCTATCAGAAGGGAGCTGATTCCATCTTTCCCGACGGTGAGACAAAGATGCGTGCGAAGGGAATTTGGGTGGTAAGGGAGGCTGGGAGGTGAGAGGTTTCTAGCCAGACTCAAATTTGGCTGAAAATTTTATCTCTGAGAAGGAAGGAGGTGGAGTGGTTCTATCAGAAGGGGGCTGACTCCATCTTTCCCGACGGTGAGAGAAACACACGGGTTGGAGGGAGGGTGCAAGGGAGGGTGGGCGGCAAGGGAGGGTGGGGTGTGATGGAATCTTTTTGCAGAGAAGGACAGAGGTGGAGTGGTTCTATCAGAAAGGAACTGACTCTCTTTTTCCTGATGGTGAGAGTTTGTTGAGGGAATGCGGGCGCCGAGGGGATGCGTAGAGCCTTTAGTGAAATAAATGTCACACAATGAATGTTTGACAGTAACACTTCCCTCCCCTCCTCCCCCCACCCCACCCCGCCACCACCACCACCACCACCCCTTCCAACCCGTTTACCCCCTCACAATCATACCCTATGAACCCACGTTCAGCGTTCGACAAGTATCGCGAGTTCATTCCCAAGGACGAGCAGCACAATATGAAAGCGGTCTCCTCCATTCCCCCCCTTCCCCACCTCCCGCCCGACTTCACAATCACATTCATTAACATCACTTGCAGCGTTTGACAAGTACCGCGAGTTCATCCCCAAGGAGGAGCAGCACGATCTGGTGACAGCCTACCACAAGAGACTCATGAACGACTCCGAACCCGACCAGCAGGTATGGATGGCTCCGAGCCTGACCAGCAGGTATAGATGGCTCCAAGCCTGACCAACAGATATGGCTGACTTTGAGCCTGACCAGCAAATATAGATGACTCTGAACTGGATATAGAATGCCACCTGGCACCTGCCCCTTTCCTTGCTAACATCTCCCCTCTCCCAGATGGCGGCAGTAGCACGGCACTGAACAGAGTGGGAAACGCCCACCAGCTACCTGCTGTCACTTGCTGTGTTTACTGTCCAACCCATTGCACTGCCCTATGCTTCCATGTGACCGTCCTTGTTTGATTGACCACACCAGGTGGCGGCAGCACGGCACTGGACGGAGTGGGAGATCGCCACCAGCTACCTGCACTGTCCGTTCATGTCCAACCTATTCTTCTGTCTCTGCGTTCCCTGCCATCATCCTTGTTTGATTGATCACACCAGGTGGCAGCAGCGCGGCACTGGACGGAGTGGGAGATGCCCACCAGCTACCTGGTCTCTGCTGCCCGTCACTGTCTTTAACTGTCCAGCCCATACTATTCATGCGCTGTGTTCCCCAATTATCAACCTTGCCATCTCCCCTCCAGGTGGCAGCAGCACGGCACTGGACGGAGTGGGAGATGCCCACCAGCTACCTGGTCTCTGCTGCCCGTCACTGTCTTTAACTGTCCAGCCCATACTATTCATGCGCTGTGTTCCCCAATTATCAACCTTGCCATCTCCCCTCCAGGTGGCAGCAGCACGGCACTGGACGGAGTGGGAGATGGCCACCAGCTACCTCTTTCCTCCATTATAGTCCAACCCAACTGATGATAACTGCCCGTTATCCCCCCTATCAACAACCCTGTGTGATTGACCACACCAGGTGGCAGCAGCGCGGCACTGGACGGAGTGGGAGATGGCCACCAGCTACCTGGTCTCTGCTGCCCGTCACTGTCTTTAACTGTCCAGCCCATACTATTCATGCGCTGTGTTCCCCAATTATCAACCTTGCCATCTCCCCTCCAGGTGGCAGCAGCACGGCACTGGACGGAGTGGGAGATGGCCACCAGCTACCTTCTGCCCAACGAGGATTCGCTCAAACGAGGCGACCCATGCTACTGCTGCCCTATGTTCCCTGACAAATAACCTTGTGTTTTGTGGTTGATTGATCACACCAGGTGGCGGCAGCACGGCACTGGACGGAGTGGGAGATGGCCACCAGCTACCTGCTGCCCAATGAGGACTCGCTCAAACGAGGCGAGGACGACAAATTCGCTCTGGCAAGTTCCCTGTTGTAGTTGTCCCTGCCCCCTTTTTATTAGTCGTCTTGCGACACCTTATTCTGTCCACCTTTGCTGATACAGTGCTTAATCTAATCGATCGGGATCATCTGATGGGCTCTCGCAGTTGGTTTGACTCCATGACTCCACAAACCCCTGCAATCCCATGCTTGGCACTCGGCACCGCACTCCTCGCACACAGGCGTTTGCCCGCATCGAGACCGACTACTTCGGGAACAAGGGCCTCCTGCCATCCGACTCCTCAAGAGTCAATCCACTCTTCACAACTCCACTCCCACCCACTTGCACTCACTCGCCCACCCACAGGCGTTTGCACGTATAGAGAGCCACTGCTTCGTGAACAAGGGCTTCCTGCGGCTCTCAACACGTCTCATATATCAAGCCACTGACCGCCACTCCACCCTCCCCTACTAATACTCACCTCCCACACAGGCATTCGCACGCATAGAGAGTCACTACTTTGTGAACAAGGGCTTCCTGCCGGCCGACTCCTTCCTGCTCGACTCTGTACCCAAGTTCAGACACATCCCAGCTGTCATTGTTCAGGTAAGCTCTGAGGGATTTAAAGCCACCCTCACCCTGTTTTTTTGTTTGTTTGTTTTTTTTGTTTTGTTTTTTTTTTGCCCCAATGTAACGCCTGCTTCCTTGGTTTCTCTGCTTGCTCACTTGCGCTGGTTCGTTCCTGTAATCGCCCGGACACTTTCAGGGTCGGTACGATGTGGTTTGCCCAATCGTGTCCGCTTGGGAGCTCCACAAGGCTTGGCCCGAAGCTGAGTTCAAGGTACGGAACCAGCAACCTTTGTATCGCTACGTACGCGTCGTTTTGCTATGTTCATTTTGCATGCACTTCCAAACATATGTCTTGTGCATCCTTGTGTTCTTTGTGCATCCTTGTGTTCTTTGTGCATCCTTGTGTTCTTTGTGCATCCTTGTGTTCTTTGTGCATCCTTGTGTTCTTTGTGCATCCTTGTGTTCTTTGTGCATCCTTGTGTTCTTTGACATTATATCGTTTCTTTCATGTGGTAACAGATTGTTCCTGACGCTGGGCATTCGGCCAATGAGAAGGGAATCAGCGAACAACTTGTAGCGGCAATGGAATCCTTCAAGCTCAAGCTTTCAAGATGACAAACAGAAGAAATATATGAATTCATGCAACATGCAACAATGAGAAGGGAATTAGTGAGCAACTTGTAGCGGCTATGGAGATTTTCAAGCACAAGCTATCAAGATGACCAACTGTGCTTTTGAGGCGCCTCAAAAGAAGGGAATCAGTGAACAACTTGTAGCGGCAATGGAATCTTTCAAGCTCAAGGTATCAAGATGACCAGCAGTGATTCGGTTGCATTGCAAGAAATATATGAATTTCTGCAACACACAACAGGATTTTTCATCAATGGTTCTATGCAAAGGTTGCATAGGATTTATCATCTAAAGATAAATGACATGGTACTCTCAGATATATAATTTAGTAGGGAATAACTGTCGAGCTTCTGTAATTGTCCACAATCGCCGCAATTCTTTTGCCTCCACCACTGACTTGGTTGGGCATTTCAGGCGCTTTCCAGACCTTCAGAGCATGAATGTACTACTGTACCATAACTACTGTCAAATATTTACTGTCTCCTACCTCGACTACTGTAATGGGTAGTGGTATGATCTCCACATTTGTTTCTTATTACCATTGTAACCCATGTTACGGATATAGCATGATATTGAACCCCCAGAAAATATTGTACTGTTGCAGAACGGCAGAATAATCTGACAAGAAAAATGTGGCAGTTCTCGAAAACTGGGGACTCGGATGGGGTTAGGACGCGGTGAAAGTAGACGATCGATCGTCTGTCGCGATCGATGTGCGGATTAGTTACCCTGTTTACATACAAGTAACCCAGCTACAGTGACAATTTTAGACAAAATACACATACATTCAGACAGGACGACTGATCGTCTATCAATCGCGGCATCGCTGGGAAGCAAATGCCGACGAACCGAGCTTACAGTGATGACTGATCCAAATGTTTGCGACGTGACAGTGTTTCGCTAAGCGGGTGAAATGAGTCGCAAAAATTTCACATTTCAGAGAGCCATCGATTCGCCGACCAGGTTGCCCTGTGAAGTGCGAATTTCGCACTCGTGCTTGTACGAAATTGTATAAAGCGTGTGACCTCTGCGCGCCAAAGTGATCCCGGCGAATGGAACATAGCGCTCAACATTTTTTTCCGATCGTTACAACGCCGGGTGTGCATCGTTTCACCGATCAATTCCCCAAAGCGATCGCGAGAATCGATATTCTCTCACGATCCTCCAATTTTGTCACTTTCACCGCGTCCTTACCAAAGCAGAACCACACCAATTCTTCATACCGTATACTTGCTCAGCGAAATTGATTTGATCCAGTAGACATTTCTACTCTACACTTGGGCGGTCTGATGATGCTGGTACAGCTGCTACAAGAGCGTCGGATGCGGTTACCACTTCCGGCACTTGGTCAAGAACGGAGTTGATCTCTTGCTCAAAGGTGAGCTTGGCTCGATTCGACTTCCCGCCCACAATCAATGTTGATCCCACCTGCACGGCCCACACCTGCATGCAGTAAGAGGGGGGCCGAATCGGGGGTGTGAATCCGCACACAAGATGGCTCACGAGTGAGCTTGGCTCGGTTCGACTTCCCGCCCACAAGCAATGTTGATCCCACCTGCACGGCCCACACCTGCATGCAGTCAGGGAAGTCGGATAAGGAATGTACTTTTGAGGCGCCTCAAAACTGCATGCAGTGAGGGAAGTCGGATAAGGAATGTGGATATGGACGTTTCTTCCTGGAGAGAGAGGCTCCACTTTCCCTCATGAATCGCGTTGATCGATCCCACCTGCACAGCCCACACACTTTTGGGGTTGAAATGAGCTCGCCTTTTTTCTTTAGAATTCTCAGTAATCGCGGATGCCATTGGTGAGTACGAGAGCGCCCGATCCCAGCATGCCGGAACAGCAAGCCATCACCTCAGTAGAAAATTTATAGGGATGAATATTTCTACTAGAAATCCACCTTCCCCTCTCAGCGCCTGATACCCACGCATTCAGAAGTGGGTTACTTCTGAGTCGACTCGAAAGTCACCTTGAGCACATGCTTCAACCCCCCCCCCGCTCTCACCCCCAAGAGCTCAAACCCCATGCTCTGAATCAGGTGGAAACCTGTGCTCTGGGTCAGAGAGGAGCAAGTGTGTACAAGAGGGGAGGGATGCGTACCTGCGAGTGAGAGAGGTAGCTGATGGAAGTGGTGAGCATGAGAGCGCCAACGAGTGGGGTGGAACAGTGGGAAAGAGGAGGGAAGAGGCGAAGAAGCTCACCTGGGAGTGAGAGAGGTAGCTGATGGCGGTGGTGAGCATGAGGGCACCGAAGCCAGCATACACATAGGGAACCCCTAAGCCCACCTTCCCCATCTACAATCATCCCCCCGGCGACAGTGGATTCAAAGGAGCGAGCAAGTATGTGCAATGCACAGGGGAATGCGTACCTGCGAGTGCGAGAGGTAGCTGATAGCGGTGGTGAGCAAAGCACCGAAGCCAGCATACACGTAGGGCACGCCAGGGTCCATCTTCAATTCCAGCCCCGTGCTGCCCATCAGCTCATCTATCACCAGCCTCCTCCCCTCCACTGCAACTCCAAACTTCCCCCTCCCCCCCCCTCCCCTCTCCCCCCAACCTGTGCTCCCCGGTCAGAGAGGAGGGAGGAGAAAGTGTGTACAAGAGGGGACGCGTACCTGCGAGTGAGAGAGGTAGCTGATGGCGGTGGTGAGCATGAGAGCACCGAAGCCAGCATACACATAGGGCACGCCAGGGTCCATCTTCAGTTCCAGCCCCGTGCTCCCGATAAGCTCCTCTATCACCAGCTTCTTCCCTTCCACCATGATTGACCGGTTTGATCCCGGCCGCCTCACCCCCACAAACTCGCCCTTAGAGTCGTAGATCACCACGTTCTGAAGATCCCTGGCCAGTATGCTTCTGTACGGGTGGAAACAAAGGAAGGGAAGGGGGTATGTGGCAAGGGGTGGCATGTGAAGGGGTTCGGTTCGACCCCGGCCGCCTCACCCCCACAGATTCGCCCTTACAGCCGTGTATCGTCACGTTTTGAAGGTCGCGAGCAAGAATGCTTCTGCAGTAGGGGAAAGCGTAGGGGAAGCGGGTGTGATGTGATGTGAAGGGGTTTGGCTCGACCCCGGCCGCCTCAGCCCCACGAACTCGCCCTTACAGCCGTGTATCGCCACGAACTCGCCCTTACAGCCGTGTATCGCCACGAACTCGCCCTTACAGCCGTGTATCGCCACGAACTCGCCCTTACAGCCGTGTATCGCCACGAACTCGCCCTTACAGCCGTGTATCGCCACGAACTCGCCCTTACAGCCGTGTATCGCCACGAACTCGCCCTTACAGCCGTGTATCGCCACGCTCGCCCTTACAGCCGTGTATCGCCACGAACTCGCCCTTACAGCCGTGTATCGCCACGAACTCGCCCTTACAGCCGTGTATCGCCACGAACTCGCCCTTACAGCCGTGTATCGCCACGAACTCGCCCTTACAGCCGTGTATCGCCACGAACTCGCCCTTACAGCCGTGTATCGCCACAAACTCGCCCTTACAGCCGTGTATCGCCACGAACTCGCCCTTACAGCCGTGTATCGCCACGTTCTGGAGGTCACGAGCAACAATGCTTCTGCAAGGGATGAGATTTTGTCGAGATTTGAGTCGACTCAAAACTTGAGTCGACTCAAAACCCCCACGAACTCGCCCTTACAGCCGTGTATCACCACGTTCTGAAGGTCACGAGCAACAATGCTTCTGCAGTAGATGAGATTTTGGGGGGGGTAGGGGTTTGATGTGAGCCAAATTGCTTCTGCAAGGGATGAGAATTTGGGGGGGAAGGGGTTTGATGTGAAGAGATCCGTGTCAACAAGGCCACTGCATTTTTTAGGCTCCTCAAAAGCTGCATCCCCATAGACTTCCTTCTATGTTTCTGCATGTTTCTGCCTTGTTGAAACGGAAATCTATGGATCTCTTCACATCCCCATAGACTTCCTTCTATGTTTCTGCATGTTTCTATGTTTCTGCATGTTTCTATGTTTCTGCATGTTTCTATGTTTCTGCGTGTTTCTATGTCTCTGCATGTTTCTATGTTTCTGCATGTTTCTATGTTTCTGCATGGTTCTGCCTTGTTGAAACGGAAATCTATGGATCTCTTCACATCCCCATAGACTTCCTTCTATGTTTCTGCATGTTTCTATGTTTCTGCATGTTTCTATGTTTCTGCATGTTTCTATGTTTCTGCATGTTTCTATGTTTCTGCGTGTTTCTATGTCTCTGCATGTTTCTATGTTTCTGCATGTTTCTATGTTTCTGCATGGTTCTATGTTTCTGCATGTTTCTATGTTTCTGCATGTTTCTATGTTTCTGCATGTTTCTATGTTTCTGCATGTTTCTATGTTTGAGGCGCCTCAAAACTTATCTATGAATCTCTTCACATCCCCATAGATTTCATTCTGCCCCAACTCACATGCCCGTGGTCGTTGCTTCTCCCCCATCTGCATTCTCCTCCTCCCCCGTCGGCAAGAACGTCCCGAAAAGTTTCTGGCTGCTGCCCGGCTCCTGGAGCGACGCCATGGGCAGCTTGAAGGGCTCTCCACCGTCGGATCGCAGCTGGACGGCTGAGATCGCCCAGTCGGTCTGGTACATGGTGACTCCCTGGCAGCGCAGCGGGTCGTTTACGCTGATAGTCTTTCTTTGGAGCTCCCTGCCGTATAAGTCAGTCACTGAGAGGTCTGAGAAAAATTGCTTCACCTGGTGGGAATTAGAAAGGGAGGCAACGCAGAGGAAAAGAGGAGACAACGTGAGCAATGTAGGGTTTGGTTGACGCTGATGGTCTTTCTCTGAAGCTCCCTGCCGTATAGGTCCGTGACTGAGAGGTCTGAAAAGAACTGCTTCCCCTGTTGAGATGGAAGAGGGACAAGGGGAAATGGGGCAGCACATGGGGTGGTTGACGCTACTGGCCTTCCTCTGAAGCTCTCGTCCATAGAGGGCTGTTGCTGAGAGGTCTGAAAAGAACTGCTTCCCCTGTTGGAGGAAGGGGTGGAAAAGGTGGGGAAAGAGGAGGCCAAGGGGGCAGCGCAGGGATTGGTTGGTTGACAGTGATGGTGTCTTGCTTTGTGAAGTGGTGTCTTGTTGTGTGGAACGTGTCAGGAGTGTTTGAGGATTGGTTGGCTGTGATGGTGTCTTGTGTGGAACGTGTCAGGAACGGACAGGTGGGTGGTGTTTTGAGTCGACTCAAAACACGACTCAAAGGGGGCAGCGTATGTTTTTTGAGAATTCTCAAAAAAACATACGCTGAGTCGACTCAAAACACGACTCAAAGGGGGCAGCGCAGGGATTGGTTGACGGTGATGGTGTCTTGCTGTGTGCAGGGATTACTTTCTTGTGTGGAACGTGTCAGGAGTGTTTTGAGACGTCTCAAAACACTTTTGAGACGTCTCACAACACTTTTGAGACGTCTCACAACACTTTTGAGACGTCTCACAACACTTTTGAGACGTCTCACCACACTTTTGAGACGTCTCACAACACTTTTGAGACGTCTCACAACGCAGGGATTACTTTCTTGTGTGGAGTGGAACGTGTCAGTATCAGACAGGTGGGCTGCGGTGCGGAGGCCTTGCTTCCATCAACTCTTGTTGTTCTTAAGACAACGAAACGAAACCCACGGGTTAGGGTGAGTGAAAGGAAGGAAGGAGCTGATGGTGTCTTACTATCATGTGTGGTGGGCCGGGTAATGGAAGGACAGGAAACAGTTTCTGTTACCTCACGTCCCCGTTCGGCCCACCACACATGACACTAGCTAGTGGCCTGGCCAGAGCTGTTCTCCTCCTCACGTCCCCGTTCGGCCGATACTCGATATAGAATCGATTTATATGCACAGTGTGGCAGTGAGGACAGTGAGGGCAGTGATAGAAGTGGTGGCAGTGGTGGCAGTGTGATGGGTAGGTGTATCTTAATTCAACTTTTAAACACGCACGTCCCCGTTCGGCCGATACTCGATATAGAACCGATGCACATGCAGAGTGAGGGCAGTGATGGCAGTGATGGCAGTGATGGCAGTGATGGCAGTGGGAGGGTGTATCTTGATTCAACTTTTGAAGACGCACCTCCCCATTTGGTCGATATTCGATGTAAAATCGGTGCACGTGCACAAGCATGTTCATGGCTGTGTGATAGTCTGGGCAAGGTAAGGGGGGGAAAGAGTTGATGTTTTCTAGCAAGTGGCAGTAGCTTTTCTCCTCCTCCTCACCTCCCCATTTGGCCGATACTCGATGTAGAATCGGTTCACATGAACAAGCATGTTCATTGCGGTGGTAGGCCGGGCAAAGATGCTGCTGCCCTGCAGCGCAGAGGGTACAACCACGTCTAACCCCTGCGGCGTGAGGGTAGTCCCTTGGAACCCCCCCAACGCACTGTAGCAACCCCCGGCCATGACCAATAGTAGCGCAGCGTGCACGCCTATGGGTGCTAGTCGCCCCACCAGGCCTTTAAACGCGTACATAGCTGGTCCTTTCTGGAAGACCTGCAGGGGAACGAAGGGGGAAAAAAGGGGAAGGAGAGAGGGAGGTGAGGCATCAGCACATAGCAGCGTGCACGCCTATGGGCGCTAGTTCTCCCAGCACACCCTTCAACGCGTACAGAGGAGAGGAGAGGAGAAGGGGAGAGAGAAGAGAAGAGGAGGGAAGGAAAGAGAAGGTAAGTAAGTGCTACATAAGTAGTAGGCTACTAGTAGCACCCATGGCCTGCACCCATGAAGGTGTGCGTCCATGGGCTGCACTGCATACCCACGGCCCTATCGGTGCTACTGCTCACCCCGCCAGGCCCTGTTTTGAGTCGACTCAAAACAAGTAGTAGCACCCATGGCCTGCACCCATGAAGGTGTGCGTGCTGCACTGCACACCCATGGCCCTATCAATTGACTTTTGAGTCGACTCATGGCGCTTCAAAATACACTGCCTGCACCCGTGAAGGTGTGCGTCCATGGGCTGCACTGCATACCCACGGCCCTATCGGTGCTACTACTCACCCCGCCAGGCCCTTAAACACTGGATGGTTAGTCCCTGACTGGCTCCTTGGGTAGGGAAAGAAAGAACCGAGAGATGGAAAGAAAGGAAGTCCGGAATTGCATCCCACCACTCTTGCCACCATTTTTTAGGCGCCTCGAAAGTAGTCCCTGACTGACTCCTTGCGCCTCATGCACATGCACCACTCCTTTCCACCACATGCACCACTCCTTTCCACCACATGCACCACTCCTTTCCACCACATGCACCACTCCTTTCCACCACATGCACCACTCCTTTCCACCACATGCACCACTCCTTTCCACCACATGCACCACTCCTTTCCACCACATGCACCACTCCTTTCCACCACATGCACCACTCCTTTCCACCACATGCACCACTCCTTTCCACCACATGCACCACTCCTTTCCACCACATGCACCACTCCTTTCCACCACATGCACCACTCCTTTCCACCACATGCACCACTCCTTTCCACCACATGCACCCACCGAGCCTCACATGCACCACTCCTTTCCACCACATGCACCCACCGAGCCTCACATGCACCACTCCTTTCCACCACATGCACCCACCGAGCCTCACATGCACCACTCCTTTCCACCACATGCACCCACCGAGCCTCACATGCACCACTCCTTTCCACCACATGCACCCACCGAGCCTCACATGCACCACTCCTTTCCACCACATGCACCCACCGAGCCTCACATGCACCACTCCTTTCCACCAAATGCACCACTCCTTTCCACCACATGCACCACTCCTTTCCACCACATGCACCCACCGAGCCTCACATGCACCACTCCTTTCCACCACATGCACCACTCCTTTCCACCACATGCACCACTCCTTTCCACCACATGCACCACTCCTTTCCACCACATGCACCACTCCTTTCCACCACATGCACCCACCGAGCCTCACATGCACCACTCCTTTCCACCACATGCACCACTCCTTTCCACCACATGCACCACTCCTTTCCACCACATGCACCCACCGAGCCTCACATGCACCACTCCTTTCCACCACATGCACCCACCGAGCCTCACATGCACCACTCCTTTCCACCACATGCACCCACCGAGCCTCACATGCACCACTCCTTTCCACCACATGCACCCACCGAGCCTCACATGCACCACTCCTTTCCACCACATGCACCCACCGAGCCTCACATGCACCACTCCTTTCCACCACATGCACCCACCGAGCCTCACATGCACCACTCCTTTCCACCACATGCACCCACCGAGCCTCACATGCACCACTCCTTTCCACCACATGCACCACTCCTTTCCACCACATGCACCACTCCTTTCCACCACATGCACCCACCGAGCCTCACATGCACCACTCCTTTCCACCACATGCACCACTCCTTTCCACCACATGCACCACTCCTTTCCACCACATGCACCACTCCTTTCCACCACATGCACCCACCGAGCCTCACATGCACCACTCCTTTCCACCACATGCACCCACCGAGCCTCACATGCACCACTCCTTTCCACCACATGCACCCACCGAGCCTCACATGCACCACTCCTTTCCACCACATGCACCCACCGAGCCTCACATGCACCACTCCTTTCCACCACATGCACCCACCGAGCCTCACATGCACCACTCCTTTCCACCACATGCACCCACCGAGCCTCACATGCACCACTCCTTTCCATCACATGCACCCACCGAGCCTCACATGCACCACTCCTTTCCACCACATGCACCCACCGAGCCTCACATGCACCACTCCTTTCCACCACATGCACCACTCCTTTCCACCACATGCACCACTCCTTTCCACCACATGCACCCACCGAGCCTCACACGCACCACTCCTTTCCACCACATGCACCCACCGAGCCTCACACGCACCACTCCTTTCCACCACATGCACCCACCGAGCCTCACATGCACCACTCCTTTCCACCACATGCACCCACCGAGCCTCACACGCACCACTCCTTTCCACCACATGCACCCACCGAGCCTCACACGCACCACTCCTTTCCACCACATGCACCCACCGAGCCTCACACGCACCACTCCTTTCCACCACATGCACCCACCGAGCCTCACACGCACCACTCCTTTCCACCACATGCACCCACCGAGCCTCACACGCACCACTCCTTTCCACCACATGCACCCACCGAGCCTCACACGCACCACTCCTTTCCGCCACATGCACCCACCGAGCCTCACACGCACCACTCCTTTCCACCACATGCACCCACCGAGCCTCACACGCACCACTCCTTTCCACCACATGCACCCACCGAGCCTCACACGCACCACTCCTTTCCGCCACATGCACCCACCGAGCCTCACACGCACCACTCCTTTCCACCACATGCACCCACTGAGCCTCACACGCACCACTCCTTTCCACCACATGCACCCACCGAGCCTCACATGCACCACTCCTTTCCACCACATGCACCCACCGAGCCTCACATGCACCACTCCTTTCCACCACATGCACCCACCGAGCCTCACACGCACCACTCCTTTCCACCACATGCACCCACCGAGCCTCACACGCACCACTCCTTTCCACCACATGCACCCACCGAGCCTCACATGCACCACTCCTTTCCACCACATGCACCCACCGAGCCTCACATGCACCACTCCTTTCCACCACATGCACCCACCGAGCCTCACATGCACCACTCCTTTCCACCACATGCACCCACCGAGCCTCACATGCACCACTCCTTTCCACCACATGCACCCACCGAGCCTCACATGCACCACTCCTTTCCACCACATGCACCCACCGAGCCTCACATGCACCACTCCTTTCCACCACATGCACCCACCGAGCCTCACATGCACCACTCCTTTCCACCACATGCACCCACCGAGCCTCACATGCACCACTCCTTTCCACCACATGCACCCACCGAGCCTCACATGCACCACTCCTTTCCACCACATGCACCCACCGAGCCTCACATGCACCACTCCTTTCCACCACATGCACCCACCGAGCCTCACATGCACCACTCCTTTCCACCACATGCACCCACCGAGCCCCACATGCACCACTCCTTTCCACCACATGCACCACTCCTTTCCACCACATGCACCACTCCTTTCCACCACATGCACCCACCGAGCCTCACACGCACCACTCCTTTCCACCACATGCACCCACCGAGCCTCACACGCACCACTCCTTTCCACCACATGCACCCACCGAGCCTCACACGCACCACTCCTTTCCACCACATGCACCCACCGAGCCTCACACGCACCACTCCTTTCCACCACATGCACCCACCGAGCCTCACACGCACCACTCCTTTCCACCACATGCACCCACCGAGCCTCACACGCACCACTCCTTCCCGCCACATGCACCCACCGAGCCTCACACGCACCACTCCTTTCCGCCACATGCACCCACCGAGCCTCACACGCACCACTCCTTTCCACCACATGCACCCACCGAGCCTCACATGCACCACTCCTTTCCACCACATGCACCCACCGAGCCTCACACGCACCACTCCTTTCCACCACATGCACCCACCGAGCCTCACACGCACCATTCCTTTCCACCACATGCACCCACCGAGCCTCACACGCACCACTCCTTTCCACCACATGCACCCACCGAGCCTCACACGCACCACTCCTTTCCACCACATGCACCCACCGAGCCTCACACGCACCACTCCTTTCCACCACATGCACCCACCGAGCCTCACACGCACCACTCCTTTCCGCCACATGCACCCACCGAGCCTCACACGCACCACTCCTTTCCACCACATGCACCCACCGAGCCTCACACGCACCACTCCTTTCCACCACATGCACCCACCGAGCCTCACACGCACCACTCCTTTCCACCACATGCACCCACCGAGCCTCACACGCACCACTCCTTTCCACCACATGCACCCACCGAGCCTCACACGCACCACTCCTTTCCGCCACATGCACCCACCGAGCCTCACACGCACCACTCCTTTCCACCACATGCACCCACCGAGCCTCACACGCACCACTCCTTTCCACCACATGCACCCACCGAGCCTCACATCCACCACTCCTTTCCACCACATGCACCCACCGAGCCTCACATGCACCACTCCTTTCCACCACATGCACCCACCGAGCCTCACATGCACCACTCCTTTCCACCACATGCACCCACCGAGCCTCACATGCACCACTCCTTTCCACCACATGCACCCACCGAGCCTCACATGCACCACTCCTTTCCACCACATGCACCCACCGAGCCTCACATGCACCACTCCTTTCCACCACATGCACCCACCGAGCCTCACATGCACCACTCCTTTCCACCACATGCACCCACCGAGCCTCACATGCACCACTCCTTTCCACCACATGCACCCACCGAGCCTCACATGCACCACTCCTTTCCACCACATGCACCCACCGAGCCTCACATGCACCACTCCTTTCCACCACATGCACCCACCGAGCCTCACATGCACCACTCCTTTCCACCACATGCACCCACCGAGCCTCACATGCACCACTCCTTTCCACCACATGCACCCACCGAGCCTCACATGCACCACTCCTTTCCACCACATGCACCCACCGAGCCTCACATGCACCACTCCTTTCCACCACATGCACCCACCGAGCCTCACATGCACCACTCCTTTCCACCACATGCACCCACCGAGCCTCACATGCACCACTCCTTTCCACCACATGCACCCACCGAGCCTCACATGCACCACTCCTTTCCACCACATGCACCCACCGAGCCTCACATGCACCACTCCTTTCCACCACATGCACCCACCGAGCCTCACACGCACCACTCCTTTCCACCACATGCACCCACCGAGCCTCACATGCACCACTCCTTTCCACCACATGCACCCACCGAGCCTCACACGCACCACTCCTTTCCACCACATGCACCCACCGAGCCTCACACGCACCACTCCTTTCCACCACATGCACCCACCGAGCCTCACACGCACCACTCCTTTCCACCACATGCACCCACCGAGCCTCACACGCACCACTCCTTTCCACCACATGCACCCACCGAGCCTCACACGCACCACTCCTTTCCACCACATGCACCCACCGAGCCTCACACGCACCACTCCTTTCCGCCACATGCACCCACCGAGCCTCACACGCACCACTCCTTTCCACCACATGCACCCACCGAGCCTCACACGCACCACTCCTTTCCACCACATGCACCCACCGAGCCTCACACGCACCACTCCTTTCCACCACATGCACCCACCGAGCCTCACACGCACCACTCCTTTCCACCACATGCACCCACCGAGCCTCACACGCACCACTCCTTTCCACCACATGCACCCACCGAGCCTCACACGCACCACTCCTTTCCGCCACATGCACCCACCGAGCCTCACACGCACCACTCCTTTCCACCACATGCACCCACCGAGCCTCACATGCACCACTCCTTTCCACCACATGCACCCACCGAGCCTCACATGCACCACTCCTTTCCACCACATGCACCCACCGAGCCTCACATGCACCACTCCTTTCCACCACATGCACCCACCGAGCCTCACATGCACCACTCCTTTCCACCACATGCACCCACCGAGCCTCACATGCACCACTCCTTTCCACCACATGCACCCACCGAGCCTCACATGCACCACTCCTTTCCACCACATGCACCCACCGAGCCTCACATGCACCACTCCTTTCCACCACATGCACCCACCGAGCCTCACATGCACCACTTCTTTCCACCACATGCACCCACCGAGCCTCACACGCACCACTCCTTTCCACCACATGCACCCACCGAGCCTCACATGCACCACTCCTTTCCACCACATGCACCCACCGAGCCTCACACGCACCACTCCTTTCCACCACATGCACCCACCGAGCCTCACACGCACCACTCCTTTCCACCACATGCACCCACCGAGCCTCACACGCACCACTCCTTTCCACCACATGCACCCACCGAGCCTCACACGCACCACTCCTTTCCACCACATGCACCCACCGAGCCTCACACGCACCACTCCTTTCCACCACATGCACCCACCGAGCCTCACACGCACCACTTCTTTCCACCACATGCACCCACCGAGCCTCACACGCACCACTCCTTTCCGCCACATGCACCCACCGAGCCTCACATGCACCACTCCTTTCCACCACATGCACCACTCCTTTCCACCACATGCACCACTCCTTTCCACCACATGCACCCACCGAGCCTCACACGCACCACTCCTTTCCACCACATGCACCCACCGAGCCTCACACGCACCACTCCTTTCCACCACATGCACCCACCGAGCCTCACACGCACCACTCCTTTCCACCACATGCACCCACCGAGCCTCACACGCACCACTCCTTTCCACCACATGCACCCACCGAGCCTCACACGCACCACTCCTTTCCACCACATGCACCCACCGAGCCTCACACGCACCACTCCTTTCCACCACATGCACCCACCGAGCCTCACACGCACCACTCCTTTCCGCCACATGCACCCACCGAGCCTCACACGCACCACTCCTTTCCACCACATGCACCCACCGAGCCTCACATGCACCACTCCTTTCCACCACATGCACCCACCGAGCCTCACATGCACCACTCCTTTCCACCACATGCACCCACCGAGCCTCACATGCACCACTCCTTTCCACCACATGCACCCACCGAGCCTCACATGCACCACTCCTTTCCACCACATGCACCCACCGAGCCTCACATGCACCACTCCTTTCCACCACATGCACCCACCGAGCCTCACATGCACCACTCCTTTCCACCACATGCACCCACCGAGCCTCACATGCACCACTCCTTTCCACCACATGCACCCACCGAGCCTCACATGCACCACTCCTTTCCACCACATGCACCCACCGAGCCTCACATGCACCACTCCTTTCCACCACATGCACCCACCGAGCCTCACATGCACCACTCCTTTCCACCACATGCACCCACCGAGCCTCACATGCACCACTCCTTTCCACCACATGCACCCACCGAGCCTCACATGCACCAATCCTTTCCACCACATGCACCCACCGAGCCTCACATGCACCACTCCTTTCCACCACATGCACCCACCGAGCCTCACATGCACCACTCCTTTCCACCACATGCACCCACCGAGCCTCACATGCACCACTCCTTTCCACCACATGCACCCACCGAGCCTCACATGCACCACTCCTTTCCACCACATGCACCCACCGAGCCTCACATGCACCACTCCTTTCCACCACATGCACCCACCGAGCCTCACATGCACCACTCCTTTCCACCACATGCACCCACCGAGCCTCACATGCACCACTCCTTTCCACCACATGCACCCACCGAGCCTCACATGCACCACTCCTTTCCACCACATGCACCCACCGAGCCTCACATGCACCACTCCTTTCCACCACATGCACCCACCGAGCCTCACATGCACCACTCCTTTCCACCACATGCACCCACCGAGCCTCACATGCACCACTCCTTTCCACCACATGCACCCACCGAGCCTCACATGCACCACTCCTTTCCACCACATGCACCCACCGAGCCTCACATGCACAACTCCTTTCCACCACATGCACCCACCGAGCCTCACATGCACCACTCCTTTCCACCACATGCACCCACCGAGCCTCACATGCACCACTCCTTTCCACCACATGCACCCACCGAGCCTCACATGCACCACTCCTTTCCACCACATGCACCCACCGAGCCTCACATGCACCACTCCTTTCCACCACATGCACCCACCGAGCCTCACATGCTCCACTCCTTTCCACCACATGCACCCACCGAGCCTCACATGCACCACTCCTTTCCACCACATGCACCCACCGAGCCTCACATGCACCCACCGAGCCTCACATGCACCCACCGAGCCTCACATGCACCCACCGAGCCTCACATGCACCCACCGAGCCTCACATGCACCCACCGAGCCTCACATGCACCCACCGAGCCTCACATGCACCCACCGAGCCTCACATGCACCCACCGAGCCTCACATGCACCCACCGAGCCTCACATGCACCCACCGAGCCTCGCATGCACCACTCCTTGCCACCAATCTTCCACCGAGCCTCACATGCACCCACCGAGCCTCACACCGCACCTGGTATCCCTTGCGCATGAGCAGCGTTGCCAGGTCAGCAATCTGCGCCCTCTCCAGCGAATCAGAGAAGTCCATCTGGCAGAGAGACTCTGGCCGTTGGATGAAAGACCACCTGATTGATCGACGTACAGGATTTGAAGAGGGGGACGGGGGGCGGGAGGGGGCGAGAGAGGAGGAGGGTGGGGAGAGGGGGAGAAGAGTGGGTGTCGTTTTGAATGCTTTTGAGGCGCCTCAAAAGAGGGGGAGAAGAGTATGCTCCGTTTTAAATCCTACATAACCTTGCGCTCACCACAGTGGGAAATGCTTAATAACAGCCTGCGTGTCATTTTAAATGCTACATATTATTGCGCTCACCACACCACAGTGTCACCCCACGCCTCACCTTTGTGCGACCTTGAGCATGGGCAGCTGGCGCACTGACGTGCAGGCAGCAAGGGAGGCGGCGAGCAGCAGCAGCAGGGAGAGGAAGAGCGGTGAGCTGTACACGTGATCGAACCCCAGAGCCAAGACGATCTGCATGGGAGGGAGACAAGACGAGGGGGGAAAGGGGGGGTGTTGGTGAAAGGGACACGTCCTGTTAGCAGGACAGCAGCAGGGAGAGGAAGAGCGGTGAGCTGTACACGTGATCGAACCCCAGAGCCAAGACGATCTGCATGGGAGGGAGACAAGACGAGGGGGGAAAGGGGGGGTGTTGGTGAAAGGGACACGTCCTGTTAGCAGGACAGCAGCAGGGAGAGGAAGAGCGGTGAGCTGTACACATGGTCGAAGCCCAGAGCCAAGACGAGCTGCATGAGAAGAGTACATTTGGAAAAAGAGGGGGGAGTGGAAGAGGCGTGTTGAAAGGGATGGTGAGAGGGCTTGGGGAAGAGCGGTGAGCTATACACGTGGTCAATCAAATCCCAGAGCCAGCACGAGCTGCGTGGTTGAGTTGAGATACATTGGCGAGCAGAGGAGCGAGGGGAACGGAGTATGCCAAGGTTGGTGAGAGGGCGATGAGGAAGAGCGGTCAGCTGTACACATGATCAAACCCCAGAGCCAGGACGAGCTGCGGGCTAAGGGGTGTGCGAGGAAATCCACAGGACGGTCATGCTTGTGTCACGTTTGAGAATTCTCAGAATGTTTTTTTCTGGGAGGGCAGAAGAGGGGTCACTCCTTTCAACTTCCCAAGGTAAAAACGCAAAGACAGTACAAGCTCAAGTCACGAGTATCTGATGAATCGGCAATGGCACCTGCAGTCTTGACGAATCAGCAGGCAGCCTGCCACGTCAGCACTGATTTATGGCCACGTCATCACGCACCTGCCAGCTCAGCAAAGTGCCGTCGGGAAACAGCGCCACGTAATCGGACGGCCGTGCTCCCTGCTCTATCAAGGTGCCTGGAAGAAAATAAAAAGGGCGGAGAAGGGGGGAACCAGAAGAGAGGGGAAGGGAGGAGGGAAGGGGAGAGGGAAAGAGGTGAGGAGAGGTGAGTAGAGGTGAGGAGAGGTGAGGAAAGGTGAGGACAGGCGGATGCATTCATAACAGTCCACCAGTGCCTCTCCTCTCCAACGGATAGCATTGATTGGTGAGAAGAAAAATCCACAGATCAATGAACTAAAACACACCCATCAACCACCCACAGCGCACAACCCGGCCACGGCGAAGAGCAACCCAATGGCCAGCGTTTGAGAAGACTCAAAAGCAGACTCATTACACGCGGTTTTGAGTCGACTCAAAGGCGAAGAGCAGCCCAATGGCCAGCGGGAATGACGCCAGGCGCCTCAGCGTGCCTCGCCACAGCGCATCCACCAATGCCTAGACTCAGCGAATGGCATCTCTTAACTTTTTCTACAAACACCCATCCACGCACCCACAGCGCACAACCCGGCGACAGCGAAGAGCAGCCCAATGGCCAGCGGGAATGACGCCAGCCGCCTCAGCGTGCCTCGCCACAGTGCATCCGGCCAGCTGGGGGAGTTTTTTCCCCCCCCCCCGCCGCCGCCGCCGCCGCCGCCGCTGGCGCCACTCCGTTCTGTCGCGGCGCGGGTCACTTGGAGCTGAGGTCTGGACGCGCGAGCGCGATACGCGGCGGGTTTCGCGGGGGTTGGAGCTAGGAACGGCGTGGGACGAAGGAAGGATGGCGAGGTGGGATGGCCGGACGAGACATGGGATAGCCGAGAGATAGAGGAAGGACAGGAGTACGAGGAGAGGCTTAAACAAGATCGCGAGCCAAAAGTACTGGCAGCACTAGAAGCAGAGAACTGGGACGAAATGGGAGCGGGAAATGGCGGGAGACCTATCGCTGTCGCTGATCGTAGAGAGCAAAGAGTCGCCATAGCTTAACCGGCGAATGCGGATTTGTAGCAGGGAGGGAGCTTATAGGGGATGGATTTTCTGAACCTGTACAACGAGCTACCACAACGCGGGGCTGTATAAGAATAGTATAGACCCCAAGCTAGGAGCTTGTCGAAGCCGTGGTGGCTACACCATTCACGTCGCGACGCGTTGTGGGGAGAGTGTGTGTCGCGTTTTCGTCGCTGTGCAGTGAAAAGCGCGTGTGAATGAACGAGTTGAGACGATTGCAAGCGTCTGCTGCGAGAATGCTCTGCGAATCGTGGCGGAGGATGCGGCGTGCTGCTCTGGGACTAGGAGGCTCTCTGCGCCTACCGTGATATGTTTTTCAAACCTTGGTTTTTGCTTAGCACCGTACTCAAACGCAAACCCCCAAGCCCCTCCCCGTAACAGCTTTCTTCCCCAGTGTGATCTCGAACAGCTAGCTACTCAGAGAACATCGCGCGGCGTGGATGGTAACCTTGATAGTGTCGCCCTATATCACGGTGTATATAAACTTCATGCAGCTTTTTCCATATAAGTAGATCATTACTAAATCCCTAGATTTAAAGCTTAGCATCCTTATCTACTTACCATATGTAACAAGGTGAAACAGGCCTTCGCACTTTTATTAGAATTTTGCATAGTTCATGATTTCAACGCAAGGCCAAACGAATAAACGAAAAGGCTTCAGCACACAGGTGCAAGACCCCAGTACCAATTATAACAACACACACAAAACCCAGAATTTGAAGGGCTACTGGCAACGACAAGCCACTTCAGGGAGGATGATTAAAGAGGCCATGACCTCTCGGGATTGTCCACATTAGGAGCGAAGGAGCTACAAAGGAGGAAGTAGCAGCTCCATCTCTTGCAGTTAGACGCAGGTGCACATTTTCTTTTTTCTTCCTACAAATTCTTGAAACCGGCGTGCAGCTGCAAGCAGGAGGGGTTAGCCTTCAAGGGGGACAACCACAGCACAGACCCAACCCAACAGATGGGTGGCATTGGCATGCGGTTAGCTTCTCTAAAGGGCAAAAGGAAGCAGGGACTGGGGTCATGAGAGGAAACGAGAGGAGACGGAACAGCGTGTGCTGGCGGGTTGGGTTATGTGGATGACAAGGAGGCGATTTTAGCGGTGCCTTCAAAAGCACAGCGCGTTTTGATTGACGGGTTAGGCGGAGGATTACGGCTGCATTGAGGTTGGGGGTTATGTGGATGGTGAGGCGCGGAGGTCACTGGGAAGGTGGCCAATCAGAAGGCTGGAATCTTCACCTTGAACCTCTTGATTTCAAAGGCTTTAAGAATGGCGAGCGAGGTGGGCTGCGTTGAGGTTGGGGGTTATGTGGTGTGGATGGTGAGGCATGGAGGTCACTGGGAAGGTGGCCAGTATGATATGAAGGGTGGGCTGTTGGGGCTGAATACAATATGAATGCCTTGAGGGGGTCAGTGAATCCTAGGACAGAGGCTGGTGGTGGTCAGTTAGTGCATGCTGGGGAGATGGCTGGCGTGCGGTGGCATTTCAAACGCGTGTGGGGTGGATGGTGTGGGAAAGAGGCTTCAAAGGCATGGGAGTGTTGCTTCGTGGGGTGTGAGTGAAAGAGGTCAGTTAGTGGATGCTGGGAAGGGTGCTGGTGTGTGGTGGCGTTTCAAATGCGTGTGGGGTGCCGCCTCCCCCAGGGATGCCTGCATCTGATGCATTCAGGCGAGTGGGGTCCTCCCATGGGCCTGGTGGGTGGATGGGCGGATGAAAGCAAGGGAGGGCGTTGAAGGGGAGAGAATGTCAAGGGACAAAAACAGGCGAGCATGGTTGGGGCCGCCTCCCCCAGGCATGCCTGCATCGGATGCGTTCAGACGAGTGGGGTCCTCCCATGGGCCTGGTGGGTGGAAGGGGTCAACACCAAGGGGGGGAGTGAAGGGGAAAGAAGTAGCATCAAGAGGAATGAAGAGGGGGGCAGGAATGGGATTGAGTGAGAATGGGGCACGTGGGGTGTCGTGCCGCCTCCCCCAGGCATGCCTGCATCAGAGGCGTTCAGTCGAGTGGGGTCCTCCCATGGGCCTGGCGGATGGAGGGGAGGGGAGTCCAGGGACGAGCAGAGAGAGGAGAGAGTGCTTGGGATCATGGGGCGAGTGAGCCTATTTTTGAGTCGACTCAAAACCTATTTTTGAGTCGACTCAAAACGAGCAGAGAGAGGAGAGAGTGCTTGAGATCATGGGGCGTGTGAGGTGCCGCCTCCCCCAGGCATGCCTGCATCAGAGGGATTAAGACGAGCGGGATCGTCCCATGGGCCTGGAGGATGGAAGAGCTGTTGAGAACAAGGGAGGGAGACAAGGGGAGTGAATGGATGAGCATGGGATGAGAGGTCCCACCTCCCCCAGGCATGCCTGCATCAGAGGGATTAAGACGAGCGGGATCGTCCCATACTTACCACCATCAGGTCGCCACGTGCGAGCGTTGAAATTTGGGGAAGTAGTAAGAAAAGGTCTACGAGTGGGGTCCTCCCATGGGCCTGCTCCATGCATACTTACCACCATCAGGTCGCCACGTGCGACCGTTGAAATTCGCTGGGTTCGAAACGCAGCAAGCCAGACTGCCGTTTCGGTTGATACTGTCTCCTCCGCTCTACCTGTCGGGAACGCGTCCTGGCCTTCACTGGCTGGGGCGTGGGCACGGCGATGTTACTTTGAAAAAATTAGAGTGTTCAAAGCAGGCCACGTTCTGAATACATTAGCATGGAATAACCGCATAGGACTCTGGTCCTATTGCGTTGGTCTCCAGGACCGGAGTAATGATTAAAAGGGACAGTTGGGGGCACATGCCCGTGAGCCCTAGCTGCTGATCTGGCAGGCAAGGTCTAGCACATCCATCCAGCCCATACCAGCGTCTAGCACATACCAGCGTCTAGCACATACCAGCGTCTAGCACATACCTAGCACCACCCAGCCCCCTTCCCTCCCCCACCCTTCCGCCCCCCCCCACACCCGTACCATCGGGTCGCCACATGTCTGTGAGTCCCAGCTGCTGATCCGGCAGCAACCAGTAGTCCTGCCAGGGGCAAGGGGGGGACAGAAGGAGCCTTTTAAACACCAAAGCATTGATTAAATCAATGTGACTCAAAAGAAAGCAGGTGACCTCTGAGTCGACTCAAAAGCAAGCAACCCCACCCACCCCCTCACTTCATTAACCCACTCAAAAGATGCACCAAAATTGACATCCGCCTGTTTGACTTGCCCCATGCTCCCAGTCCATGCGCTCACATCACAAGAAAGACCACACCCGTCCACCCCACTGACTAACTTGACCCATGCTCCCCTCACCACAATCCACATACATGCGACTCTGCAGGGATGACTTTTGAGTCGACTCAAAAGTCATGCCCACCCAATCTGACCAGCCCCCATGCTCCCATGCTCCCATGCCATGCTCCCATGCCATGCTCCCATGCACCCCTCATCACATTCCACATACATGTGACTCTGCAGGGGTGAGCCGCACAATGCCTGACTGTGCTTCCCCTACTCGCCCCGCCCCCGCCCCTGCTGGCCCCCCTTCTCCCCCTGCCCCCGCCGCCCCTCCTCCAGGGATATTCCCTGCCCCCATCCCCGCCCCCACCCCCGCCCCTGCCCCTGCTCCTCCTGCTCCTCCTGCTCCTCCTTGTCCTGGAGTATCCAGAACAGCAGGAGAGGCGAATGTTTGGTTGGGTGTCTGAGAGTACAGGGATTGCTGCTGCGGCTGCCCCTGCTGCTGCTGCTGCTGCTGCTGCTGATCCGGCTGGCCTGCCTGGGAAGGCGCTGCTCCTTCGTACTTCTCCTCAAACCGGCTGCGAGGAATGAGACACAGCGGTGGGACAGATACCCCATGGCGATTTTGAGACAGATATAGAAAACAAAATTGGAAAAAGCAAACAAACCAACGAACAAACAAACGTGCAGCACACAGAGGTTATCCAGAATCCGAGATCCTATCAAGTCGGGTGCATGGGGGAGGACAAAAGTTTCTTGAACAAACGAAAGACGAAGAACAGTACGGAAACGAAAAAACACGAACACCAGGAGCAGCAACAGCAACGAGAAGAGCAACACAGAGCAGGAGAAAACAATAGAAGCACCCACCTGACCAGGTAGACGTCAATAGGCCCACTGGTGCTCTTCAGCAGTATCTGGTACTTGCGCTGTGCAAAGCCCTGACAGGGGCGGCAAGGTGAAAGGAAGAGATTTTGCATGAGCTTTACTGGAATCACTAACGAGAATTCACAAGGGTGCTCTTCAGCAGTATCTGGTACTTGCGCTGTGCAAAGCCCTGACAGACAGGGGCGGCAAGGTGAAAGAAAGGAATGTCACATAATGAATGAAACGCGTCAAAAGTGACCTCGATGCGTGCACTGTGATGTGCAAAGGCCAGATAGGTTGATGGTACTGTGTGCACTGTGTGCACCATCTGTGTGTACTTTTGAGAATTCTCAAAAGTACCATCTGCGTGCACTGTGCAAAGGCCAGATAGGTTGATGGTACTTTTCGCCAGATAGTTTGGGCAACGTCAATTCTCAAAAGTACCATCTGCGTGCACTGTGCAAAGGCCACATAGTTTGGGGCGGCATGGGAAACACCACCAAGGGACTTAAAGGAACTTAAAGGACGGATAGAATGATCTAGGCTTTAAGTAATGCACACTGAGCCGAACAGCTCACCGCTTCAAAAACGGCTCTTGAGAATTCTAAAAAACTTATGACACACTGAGCAGAACAGCTCACCTCTTCTGGATCTGGAACTTCGAGCATGGTGCCGTGCGGGGCTCTGATGGCAATCAGGGTTTCGTTCTGTTCAGAGGGACGTTTAAACACATTTGAGAAACACAGAGGTGTTAAAGCTCATAACACACTGCTGTAGGCAACAAAAAGTAGCAAGCAACGATAAATAAACAAACAGGCAAGACTGCCTGAGAGAGAGAGAGAGAGAGAAAAAAAAAAAATCTGAGCAAAGGCCCAAAGACAACCCACCTGAAAGCATGGCAGGTTCTTAATGTCTTCTTCTGTGACAAACATCCATCTGCGAACAAGGACAGCAAGAGGTTAGATGCAAACGGCAGTGGTAGGAGAAAGAAACCACGACGCAGTTGAATAGAATTATAAAACGCGTGAGGAGGAGGCGATGTCGTCTTACTGTTTTCTCTTGTCGTCCTCATTCAACAGCCGTAACCGTTCCCGCATGTCCCTGATTTGATGGAAACAACACAAGTGACACAAGGATGATGGGTGTTAGTTATGTTCCAGGTCTATAGAAGAAGACCCAAGAAAATCAAACGTAGCAGCAGCAGTAGAGATACCCTAGAATGCCCACAACAACAAACTTCAACAAAAAAGAGAGAAAAAAAATCACAGAACAGCCACGTTACACGTACTTGATTCCATTGTCTAGACTCAACTCCTCCTCCCTTAACCGATTCAACTCCGCCTAAACAAGGGGCGAGAAAAACAGAGGAGGGGAGAAGCACAGGTGAAAAGACAACCAAATACCCCAAGAACAGCAAACTGAACTTTGAGCCCTATTCCTGGGGCCCTACGTCCTGTTCAAGAATAGGGTGTTTTGAAGCGACTCAAAATCCCTATTCCTTCTTGCCCGTGTTTAGGCACAAAGTCAAGTGCTTAGCCCTACTCTGATTCCTAATCCTCATTTTATGCTTAGCAATAGTCAAATGCTCAGCCATGGTCGGTAAACGAAGCTAACTAAGAGAAGCGGGAGGCTACCTGGAGAATCTGCGAGTCTTCTTTGATGGTCGAATCACACTCCAACCCCCTGAAAAGAACAACATCATCTTGAAAATGAATACCAGCGCATACTTTGTGAATGCATGCAAATGCACACATACATGATATTACATTCATAAAGGCACACATACATCAATACATACACATCCAACAAAACACTCCATGCAGCAAGCCACTCACTTCCACTGAATGTTGTTCTTCCCTTTCTTCTCAATCAACCCAATGCCCTCCAGCACATTCGTAATGTCGTATATTCGCCGCTTCTGGACCTGAGGGGGGAGAAGGAACAGTATAAGAATCAGCGGCACCATAGAAGACGAGTTGAACGTCAAGTTTCACAACCAGCTGCAATCCAGGGTCGGGACCGTACCGCGCATTGCACATGCAGCAACATATCAGCGAGTACACGTCGTGTATCCTCCAATAAAGAGTTTACTTTTGAGTCGACTCAAAAGTCAGCTGCAATCCAGGGTTGGGACCGCGCATTGCACTGCACATGCAGCAACATATCAGCGAGTACACGTCGTGTATCCTCCAATAAAGAGTTGACTTTTGAGTTGACTCAAAAGTCAGCTGCAATCCAGGGTTGGGACCGCGCATTGCACTGCACATGCAGCAACATATCAGCGAGTACACGTCGTGTATCCTCCAATAAAGAGTTGACTTTTGAGTCGACTCAAAAGTCAGCTGCAATCCAGGGTTGGGACCGCGCATTGCATTGCACATGCAGCAACATATCAGCGAGTACACGTCGTGTATCCTCCAATAAAGAGTTGACTTTTGAGTCGACTCAAAAGTCAGCTGCAATCCAGGGTTGGGACCGCGCATTGCATTGCACATGCAGCAACATATCAGCGAGTACACGTCGTGTATCCTCCAATAAAGAGTCGTCATCAGAGCTTTGCTTCTGTTTGTTTGTTTGTTTGTTTTTTCTGCACCTCAAAAGTGATGCCGTGTATGTATCCTCTGTGCGAATCACGCCTGCTCATGCCTGGATCATGCCATGCGTTGCCGTGCTGTGCCAGCATTGTAAGGGCATGCTTCACATAAGTTCCCAAGCATACCTGGAAGGTTGACGCTGCAGTGTTCAAGTGCCGTCACCTGACCCCGTTATTAGGTCAATGAACTTCATGTGAGTCGACTCAGAAGTTGCATGCAAGTTACAACACAGAAGCCACCACGCGTACCTGCAGGGTTGACGCTGCAGTGTTCAGGTCTAGTGTGCCATCATCTGATGATCCTTTTATTAGGTCGATGAACTTCTTGTGGGTGTATCTGGAGGGTTGACTCACATGTCACATGCATGCAACACAGAAGCCACCAAGTGTACCTGCAGGGTCGATGCTGCAGTGTTCAAGTCTAGTGTGCCGTCATCTCTGAACCCTGTATCAGGTCGATAAACTGCTTCTAAGTCGACTCAAATGTCACATCACATGCATGCAACACAGAAGCTACCAAGCGTACCTGCAGGGTTGACGCTGCAGTGTTGAGGTCTAGTGTGCCGTCATCTGATCCCTTTATTAGGTCGATAAACTTTTTCGTCAATAGCCCTGCAAGAAATCGAAGGAAATGTGAGAGGAGGGAGGAAGAGGGAAAGGTGGTTGGGAAAGGAAAGAGCAGGGGAAGGGGGGACACTGGGCATGTCAAAAGAGTGAAAGAGTCCAGGGAGGAATTGATACAGAAGCATGATGCGGATGACCATTGTAGTCATGCCGCCTTCAGCATGGGCACTAGATGCAGTGTGACCGGCAAGATGCAGTGTGACCGGCAAGATGCAGTGTGACTGGCAAGATGCAGTGTGACCGGCAAGATGCAGTGTGAGTGGCAAGATTCAGTGTGAGTGGCAAGGCAAGCAACACACCAAGGGAGTTGTCGTAGCGGCATGCTGACTGCTGCTGCGGCTGGCCCATGGGTCCTGCTGGTGAGTTGAGCCCCATACCCGCGTCCCCATGCTCCCATGCAGCACCTGCTGCTGCCACAAGGTGATGCAGGAAAAATAACACATCCCAAGAAAACAAAAAGGCGATTATTCCATCAGCTCAAAGAGTGACCCACGGGTCCTACATATCCTAAATGTAAAGTATCCTAATGAACCCTAAACGTATCCTAAACGTATACCAAGAGGTGGCCACACCTACCTTTCCCCCGCGCCATCTTGCGACCCCGCGCTGTGACGGGGTCCTCTCCATTGTTGAAATCCGTTTTGAGAGACCTTAAACGCAACCACACAGTCAAAACCTACCTTTCCCGCGCGCCATCTTGCGGCCTCGCGCTGTGAGCGGGTCCTCTCCGTTGTTGAACCGCGGCCACGGCTCCCCTGTCGTCTGCACACATGATAAGAAACCGTAACAATGAGGCAAAACGGAAAATCATGCATTGATAATCGAGATGTAGAACAAAGATTGGTGCGGAAAACTCAGAGTGGGGACGAGAGAGCAGGAGGGGTGGGCGAGTGGGCGTGACAATGACGAGAGGGTAGAGATGCGAGTGGAGAGTGACAATAACGAGAGCACAGGTGAGGTCAATGTGACCTACCTGACCGGAAAGCACAGTGGGAGCCATCCCGGGCGAGAGGGCATGACATAGCGAGAGCGTGGACGAGGCGAGAAGGCGTGACAGCAACAAGACTGCAAGAGAAGCGAATGTGGCGTACCTGGCCAGAGAGCACGGTGGGAGCCATCCCGGGCGAGAGGGCGTGACAATAACACGAACACGGAAGAGGCGACCGGGCGTGACAATAACGTGTGGGAGATGAGAATGTGACGTACCTGGCCGGAGAGCACAGTGGGAGCCATCCCGGGCGCATTCTGCCGTAATGAGTGCTCCTAAAACAGCACCCGCAACACACGAATAAGGGGAGAAAGGGCGGGCTCTGGTGAGCGCACGAACGTGCGCAAATGCAATGCACATGGATGTGCGTGCAGCGCACGAATAAACATGAATGGGAATGGACGCGCCTTAAACGTGTGAATCGGCTGATACGTGGTGCGGGAACCGGAACGGCAAGGGAGAAAACAAGGCTGGGGCGCGACGCCTGCGCTCGGAAATCGGGGTGTTACACCGGGAGGGTGCGGCTTTCAGGTTCGCTACATGATAAAAGTGATGTTTTGAGACGTCTCAAAACATCACTTCTATCACGTGGCTGGGGAGCGACGCCTGCGCTCGGAAATCGGGGTGTTACACCGGGAGGGCGCGGTTTTCGAGGCGAAAGTGAAATCCACCGCGGGAAACTTTCCTCGCCTTGTCTGCCCTTTTCACTCGCCGCGGACCCTTCTTGATACACCCCGCCCGCCGTCCTTCCAAGCCGACTCAAGGACTCCGGTTGAGTCGATTCAAAACCGTCTTAATCGCCTGAGAAGTCATCCGAAGGACTTACGGAGAATTTCGCGACCAAGTACTCCTCCTCCCCTTGCCTCCCGTACTGGCCCGCCGCGTACCCTCCTCCCTGGTACACCGCGGGGTCCTGAAACTGGTGGTACGCATCGGGCGCCGCAAATGCCGGTCTCATGTGCGTGAACGGAACCTGGTACGGCTGACTCCCGTACGAGTAACCGGACATGCCTGGTCCCGAAATGCCTTGTCCTGACATGACTGGTCCGGACATCCCCGGGCCGGGCATTCCTGGGCATGACATGCCTGGACCCGAAATGCCTTGTGTTGAGAGACCACCCGCTGTAGAAATGCCTGAAAGTGGAGGTGCTGACATGCCTTGTGCTGCCGACATGCCTTGCGGTGCCCCCATCCCTTGTGGAGCCATGCCTTGAGGTGCCATGCCTTGTGCTGCTGCCATTCCGTGAGCCGACATAGCTTGTGAAGGATAGGGCTGAGCTACGGATCCGTGGTCTATACTCACACCCCTATGGTCCATACTTATTCCCCTATGATCCATACCCATCGCCCTATGGTCCATGATCATACCCTCACCCTGGATGTACGGCCTAGGCGCCATAAATGCAGGGTTACTATTGGGATTAGCCATTGCGAGGAAGGTCTAGGGCAGCATTTGTAGGGCGGAAACTCCCGTCCTTCCGGCGGAATAAACCGGCAAGTTCTAACCTTAAAATGTATCCTGATTTAGCGTGGTGCCATGGACTGGGATCCGACGATCTGAACGAAGCGGAAAAAATGCGCTCCTCGCGAAGAACCCAGAAACAAGCGCTAAAAACGACGCAAATGGATTCGACGGCTGCTAACACACTATCCGTTCACGTATGTTGCTCAAGCAACAAAATACGGCGCAGCGATCAGAGACACCATGAGCTGTAAAATAAGGAAGTCAGATAATGGAAACCTGAATCGTGCAAAAAGTACAATATAGTTACTTGCTACCCCTGCCACCTAGGTTTTCCCTCGGGTTTTGAGTTCATCACGCACAGTTACTGAAACTATTCGCCAAAAGCGCAGCACTGTAGCTTCTGGCGCAGGGTTTCTGCCAGTTTTTCGCTCAGCGCGCAGAATTAGCTCCTTTCTACGCAGCCGATGCTTATTGGGCCACATGTCAGAAAGTTAGAGGCCAATTGGTTTTACTGTTAGCGAACAATAGGTTAAAGAAAACAGTAACTCCACATTCTTGTTTTCTACCTGCTCGAAAAAAAACAGCCCATGGAGAAAGGGCATCAACACTAAACACCCAATATATGGTGTTTAGGGTTGATGACTCCCTAGATCCTGGCGTCAAAAAATATTACCCATAGCGAACAATAAAACCCATTGTTTAGGGCATCAACCCTAAACACTTCCGCCTTGTGTTTAGGGTTGATGACTCCCTAAACAACATGCCATCAGTGAGGGGTTTATAGTTTTTCTCTGCCCAAAATGCAGGTGTAGACGGTTCGCTGGCCGTCAGCCAAGGCGGAGCTGTCGGTCCGTCAATATTTTAGCCAATGATGAATGAACTGCGTAGAAAGGAGCTAATTCTGCGTACTGAGCGAAAAACTGGAAGAAACCCTGCGCCAGAAGCTACATTGCTGCGCTTTTGGCGTATTGTTTCAGTAAGTGTGCGTGATCAACTCAAAACCCTTTTCCCTCCAAGGCAAGGGGGCGTGGAAAGAGAGGGAAAAGGGGGAGGCTGATGTGTGGCGGGGGAGGGAAACCCTGGGAATGGGTGAAAATCGCGAGGGAAAGTCCTAGGTTCCTCGCGCGCAGGCCTTCGTGAGATCGCATGCATTTTTCGTTAACCGCACGTTACTCACCGTGTGCTGTCGCCAATGCGCATTTCTGGCGACAGGATGACGATGACGGTGCTTTCGATGAATGTTGGGTTTTCAGCTTAGCGGGGACAGGTATCCCGACCCCTCCGCTTTCAGGGAACGGGTTTCGCTTCCTGCGGACAGTTTCCGCAAAAGGCTGGGCTAGGGGGGGACAGTTATCGTTAAGGTTAGGGACTCGAGCTCTCAATGAGCCACGTGTCTCACTTTTCACAGAGAGTTCACTGTAGGTGTTAAATCACAGATTCCCTACTGCTCTGGCTTGTCGTTTCGACCCAAAACATTTCACGCGGAAGAGTCGTTTAGCTAGCCCCATTTGCGCTAGCGGCGCTAAACGACGCTACCGGGAACAATAAGGGCAGGGCATAAAAAAAATAAACCCCTAGGGAACCTTGACGCATTTTTGGGAGGGATCAACCCTAAACACGGGAAAGGGCATTGATTTTAGAGTTGATGCCTCCCCGAGTCGCATCCCTTTCCGATTGGGTTTTAGTTTTTTCGGGTCAGGGGATGAAGTATATATTCCCACATTTTCTCAGGGTGTCGGGTGCAATATACAGGTTTGGGAACAGCGGTTTGACCAGCCACCCCGAACGTGGGCTGGATTCGGTGGAAAAGACAAGCATGCGCAGTGCAGAATCTGTGAATGCATGTGTACAGTGAGCGAGCTGTGAAGGATGAAACACGTGGCTCATTGAGAGCTCGAGTCCCTTACATGAACGATAACTGTCCCCCCCTTGCCCAGCCTTTTGCGGAAACTATGCGCAGGATGCGAAACCTGTCCCCTGAAAGCGGAGGGGTCGGGAGAAGACAGCCTGAAGTCCGACGGCGATCTGGCTGCCACTTGGAGATACGCGTGTGGGTGGCTTCGATATGTGTCAGATGTGCCGATTGGCCCCTTACATAAAGAGGTCTTGTAAGGGCGTGTGCCATTTTCCAATTTTGCCCGTTCGGACGGGCCACCGTTCGGACGTTTTTGTGGTTATTATACTCGCTATGCCTCGCTGGATTCTTCGTTAGAGCACATGCGACGTCGTTATGTTCGGACCACTGATGGAACTTTTTGCGTAATTTGACCTCCCAAATTTACCGGACGAGTCCGTTCGATAAACGGACGGACGTAACAGTGACGCGCTTTTACAGGCTGACGAGCGGGATTCTCCAGGTCGGCTGGATGTTACTTATATCGCAATGACGTCGTGATCATGGTTACAAGCTCGCTAATGTTTTCAATTTCGTAAGTTGAAAAAGTTTCATTAAAACTTCAGTATACATTTGAAAGTACTGTTTGTGGTGGAACAGTAGCCACCAAGATTTCGCCCCAACGAAAAGAAAGGGGCTTGGCGAGAGGGGTTGCGAAAATTTGGAGGATTGAGGGGTGGGAACATGAGAAACTCTCCCGTCACCCAACCCTTCAGGTTGGGCTCACAAACACAAGTATAAGCAACTAATTACTAGGAAAGGCCAGCATAGAACTAGCAGCGCAACGACTCACCCTGACCTAATCGCCCGTTGTAAGGGGACACGGGGCTATACAAACGCCTTTAGCTGCAGGGGCGGTGTGCATTCGGATGGGCCGCCGCGTAGCATTCGTCGAGCGATGCCATGCGGCAAACGGCGAGCGCCTCGACGAGTTGCATTACGCTGGCTCCAGGGTGATGAAATCGTCGAACCAGCGATAAATTATTCAGTTAGCCGTCGCGTTCCACCCTACGGGCTTCTCGCCTAGCGCCATCATGCATCGCGAAACCCGCTGATGGCGAAACCCGCTGATGGCGGAACCCGCTGATGGCGATACCCGCTGATGGCGGAACCCGCTGATGGCGATACCCGCTGATGGCGGAACCCGCTGATCGCGATACCCGCTGATCGCGATACCCGCTCCTCGCCAAACACGGTGCTCGCGAAATCTGTTTAGCTCGTCACCCGCTTCTCGCCTCACCCGCCGCATGCCTCACCTGCGAATCGGCACAATACTCGCCTCACGCGCTGCTCGGCTCATAACCCATTTCGTCATTTTTCCCCCTTCCGCCTCTCGTTTCCTCAATCTCATTTCCCCCCCTTCCGCCTCTCATTTTCCCGGAGCTCCTCCCTCTCGTTTCCCCCCTTTCTCCCTCTCGTTTCCCCCCTTTCTCCCTCTCGTTTCCCCCCTTTCTCCCTCTCGTTTCCCCCCTTTCTCCCTCTCGTTTCCCCCCCTTCCGCCTCTCATCTTCCCCCCTTCCGCCTCTCGTTTCCCCCCCTTCTCCATCTCGTTTCCTCCCCTCCTCCCTCTCGTTTCCCCCCCTTCCGCCTCTCATTTTCCCCCCCTTCCGCCTCTCGTTTCCCCCCCTTCTCCATCTCGTTTCCCCCCCTCCTCCCTCTCATTTCCCCCCCTTCCGCCTCTCGTTTCCCCCCCTTCTCCCTCTCATTTCCCCCCCTCCTCCCTCTCGTTTCCCCCCCCTTCCCCCTCTCGTTTCCCCTCCTTCTCCTCTCATTTCCCCCCTTCTCCCTCTCATTTCCCCGTTTTCCCCCTCTCGTCTCCCCCCCTTCTCCCTCTCATTCCCCCCCCCCCTCCCTCTCGTTTCCCCCCTTTCTCCCTCTCGTTTCCCCCCTTTCTCCCTCTCGTTTCCCCCCCTTCCGCCTCTCATCTTCCCCCCTTCCGCCTCTCGTTTCCCCCCCTTCTCCATCTCGTTTCCTCCCCTCCTCCCTCTCGTTTCCCCCCTCCACCCTCTCGTTTCCCCCCCTTCCGCCTCTCATTTTCCCCCCCTTCCGCCTCTCGTTTCCCCCCCTTCTCCATCTCGTTTCCCCCCCTCCTCCCTCTCATTTTCCCCCCTTCCGCCTCTCGTTTCCCCCCCTTCTCCCTCTCATTTCCCCCCCTCCTCCCTCTCGTTTCCCCCCGCCTTCCCCCTCTCGTTTCCCCTCCTTCTCCTCTCATTTCCCCCCTTCTCCCTCTCATTTCCCCGTTTTCCCCCTCTCGTCTCCCCCCCTCCTCCCTCTCGTTTCCCCCCTTTCTCCCTCTCGTTCCCCCCCCTTCTGCCTCTCATTTCCCCCCTTTCCCCCTCTCGTTTCCCCCCCTTCTCCCTCTTGTAACTCCCCCTTCCCCCTCTCGTATTCCCCCCTTCCCCCTCTCATTTCTCCCCCTCCTCCCTCTCGTTTCCGACCCTTCCCCCTCTTTCCCACCCTTCCCCCTCTCGTTTCCCACCCTTCCCCCTCTCGTTTCCCACCCTTCCCCCTCTCGTTTCCCACCCTTCCCCCTCTCGTTTCCCCTCCTCTCATTTCCCCAACTTCTCCCTCTCATTTGCCCCCTTCCCCCTCTCATTTCCCTGCTTTCCCCCCTCATTTCGCCCTCCTTCCCCTCATTCACCCTTTCCTTACCCTCATCTCCCCATCTCGTTTCTCGCATTTCCCCTACTCCGTCCCCTCGTTTCCCCCTCTCCCCTCATTTCATCCTCTCGTTCCACAAAATCCCCACCTCTCGTTTCCCACATTTCCCCTTATCCGTCCTCTCCTCTCCCTCTCTCCGTCCCCTCCTTTACCCCTCCTTCCCCTCATTTTCCCCTCTCCCTCCCCTCATTCCCCCCTCTCCTTTCCCTCATTTCCCCCCTCCTTCCCCCCATTTCCCTCGAGGAGGGTTCGGGTGAGTGCAAAACTGTGTGCGGCGCACACAGGCATAGAGGGACAAATCGTTTGCGCTGGAGTGATCCGCCCTTGCTCTTATGTTGCCGCGTCTGCTCACGAATGCGCTCGTCAGCTCTCCATTTGTCACACAATCAGCTTTGCACCTCCCACCACCCACTGAGTTCAAGCCTCTCACGTGTTACCCTATCACCACTGCTGCATATCTTCCCTACATGCCTCTCTCCCTCTCCTCTCTTCACACGTTGTTCTGCCCTGCCATGCCCTTCCCTTGCCTTCCTTACCCTTCCCTGCCCCCACCCTGCCGGCCGGTGAGTGCGCTCATGCTGCTGGCGCGCGAGAGGGAGCTGCAGCGCCCTCACATGCTGCACAGTCCTTCCCCTCCTCCCCCCTTTGCTTACCCTTCCTTACTCCCCCCCGTGCAACCCTTGCTCTCCCTTTGCTTCCCCTCCCTTCCCCTCCAGCTTACCCTCTGTTTCTTCTGCAGCTTGCCCTTGTCTGTAATTTTGTTTGTTTGTTTGTTTATTTGTTTGTTTGTTTGTTTTTTTCAAGTGCACAATACAAAAGACATCAGCCCTTCTCATTCTGAGTGCTGCTCTTTGCAGCTTAGTGAAACCAAATAACTAGGCAGGAAGTTCCAGCTTGTGTGTGCTGTTAGCGTACCAATCAATTGAATTGATAGCATAGCATGCCATAACACATCAGTTTATTCAAAATATTGATGACTGTACCTAGACACAACTTCCCTTCTTTGCGTACAGCATCCTTGCATGATGCATATGGGCACAGCACAGCATTGTATGCGACATGTGACGTGTGTTGTACACAACTCAAGATACATGGTGGGCTGTCCTCTGCTCTAGCTGGTCATCATTTGTCCAACACTTGTGTCTGATGCTGCTCCCCTCTGCTGAACCCGAACTTGTCCTGCTCGAAGCGGTAACAAAGGGGGGAGAGATGGGAAAACAGGATGGAAAGGTGGAGAGGCAGGAACGGAGGATTAGGTGGGACGCAGAGGTTTGGTGACAAGAGTGGGAGATGGGGAAGAGAGGAAAAAAGAGGGAAAGGCAGGAAGATTGCAGAAAAGTGGGAAGGGCTGGAAGAGAGGGGAAATGAGGGAAAGGAAGGAAGAGAGCTGAAAAGAGAGAAAGGCAGCAGGAGAGGGGAAAAGAGGGAAAGGCAGGAGGATCGTGACAAAGAGGGGGGAAGGGTAATGCAGGGAGGGGAAGGGTAATGCAGGGAGGGGAAGGGTAATGCAGGGAGGGGAAGGGTAATGCAGGGAGGGGAAGGGTATGTCAAAGTATATGCATGTTATATATGTGTAGGCTGTAGTGGGGTAGCCAATATGGGGTACAGCCCCTTTTAGGGTTTCATAATTGTACCCAATACTTTCATAGTTCAATCATTCCTGCTGCTAGATTCTGACATGGTTTCAGAGCACTAGGTCCATAGGACCGTTTTTTTTTTTTCGGGCCCACCTACCGTTGCGGTTACCGCGCTACCCCACGTGTTGTCCTGCGCCTGCCTTGCCTTGTGACGTGCTGCGCTGCGCGCGCCGTCCTGCAGCCCTCGCGCTGCCTACTGCTGCCCTTGGCCAGAGCGCCACCCCTGCTAGCACGTAAGGCCCGCGCGCCGCCCCTGCAGACACGTCAGGCCCGCGAGCCGCCCCTGCAGGCCCGTCAGGCCAGAGCGCCGCCCCGCCAGGTCGCTGACGCGTCGGCCAGGTCGCCGCCCCGCGCGTCGCGCCCACAGCCCGCGCGTCGCGCTGCAGCCCCGCGCGTCGCGTCCACTGCCCGCGCGTCGCGCTGCAGCCCTGCGCGTCGCGTCCGCTGCCCGCGCGTCACGCTGCAGCCCCGCGCGCCGCGGCTGCCGTCCTCGCGCAGCCCGCGGCGGCTTCGCGCGCCGCGCCCGCAGCTCGCGTAGCGCGCTGCAGCCCCGCGCGCCGCGGCTGCCCCTGTTCGTCGCGACGCCCCCCCCCCCCCCCCCCCCCCCCCCTGGACGCCGCCCCTTTCCTGACTGCCGCCGTCGCTCCTGCAGCAGCTGCCGCGGAGCGCCCTGCCACAGTCGCGGCCCCGCCCTGCAGTAGCTGCCGCGGAGCCTTCTGCCGCCGTCACGGCCCCGCCCTGCAGCAGCTGCCGCGGAGCCTCCTGCCGCAGTCGCGGCCCTGCCCTGCAGCAGCTGCCGCGGAGCCTCCTGCCGCGGTCGTGGCCCCGCCCTGCAGCCGTCACGTCCCCGCCCTGCAGCAGCTGACGCGGCCCTGCTCTGCCACAGCTGTTGCGGCCCCGCCGTCGCCACCGTCGTGCGCCTGCCCTTCCCACCACTGGTGAGCACCTGCCTTGTTCGCGCACTGCCGCGCCACCTGCCTGTTGGCCTGCCACGCCTGCCTGCCTGCCGCGCCTGCCCTGCCCGCTGCTGCTGCTGCTACTACTGCTACTGCTGCTACTGGCGGTGGCCAGATGCAGCTCCAGCGACGTTCACGCGAGTCTCTCACGCCCCAGCAGCTTAGTGAGTGGTACGCTAGTTGGGGTTGTGGCGGTAGCCGTCGTAGTTGTCGCCCTGGAGCTGGTCAGTTGGGAGCGTCTGGCAGTGGCCAGCTGCAGCTGCAGCGGCGTCCACGCGAGACACTTACGTCCCAGCAGCTTCACGAGTGGTACGCTCAGAGTAGAGGGTCGTGGAGTACCGTTCGCTGCCCGTACGTCATTCGCACAGGTGATAGGGCTGGTCAGGCTTGCGGGACGCTTAGTCACACACAGTCCCGCGGCTTCGCCCGTCTGAGCGACGCCTGGCGTACCGAGTTTGGCGACGAGGCTGAGCTCCCCCCCTGGCTGGAGCTGCTTGGGCAGAGGGTAGATATATTTGCTCTTGACTATGATGCTATTCTCACTGCCATGTATGCATTGCCTACTAGTGCTGACGGTGCCTGTTACCTGTGCGTACCGCCTGACCCAGGTATAGAGCCTGCTGCTCTCGGTGCTGGTGAGGCTGCTGCTCTAGGTGCTCGTGCGTCTCCTGCTCTAGGTGCTGGTGAGGCTGCTGCTCTAGGTGCTAGTGCGTCTCCTGCTCTAGGTGCTGGTGAGGCTACTGCTCTAGGTGCTGGTGAGTCTGCTCTGTCTGGTACTGCACCTGCTGAGGCCTTGTACACCTTCACACTTGACTCAGGTGCTTCCCGCTCCTTCTTTCGCGACAGCACCACCCTCACGCCGCTCAGCCGGCCGGTTGCAGTCTCTCTGGCAGACCCCTCTGGGGGTCCAGTCCTTGCGCACTCCTCCACGGTCCTGCCGTTTCCGGCGGTCCCGTCTGGCTCCCTGTCAGGTCTTCACCTCCCCTCGTTCTCTACGAACTTGGTGAGTGGTGCTGACCTCCAGGACCAGTGGGTTGACCAGTTCACTCCTGGAGGTCAGCGCGTGACCCACTGTACGTGCTCCCGGACGGGCCGGCACCTGGCCACGTTTACCCGTGCGCCTGGCTCGAGTCTGTACACACTGGCTACTGTGTCCCCTCAGGTCGCTGCGTCTGCGTCTGTGTCAGGTCAGCTAGCGGCCCCCTGCTCGTGTCGAGCTTTGTCGCACCAGACCCTCCTCTGGCACCACCGCCTTGGTCACCCCTCGGTGCAGCGCCTTCGTAGCATGCACCGCCGTTTCCTTGTCTCTGGACTTCCAGAGACTCTGCCTCCTCTACCACCCTCGCCTGCTCCTCCCTGTCTTCCCTGTGTCGAGGGGCGGCAGTGCGCCGCTCCTCACTCCTCCTCGTTCCCTCCCACAGAGGCTCCCCTGCAGACTCTCCACCTGGACGTGTGGGGCCCAGCCCGCGTCCGTGGACAGGGCCACGAGCGGTACTTCCTGCTGGTCGTCGACGACTACACGCGTTACACCACGATCTTCCCCTTGCAGCGCAGGGGGGAGGTCCCTGATGTTTTGATCCCCTGGATCCGCGCTGTTCGTCTCCAGCTCCGCGAGCGGTTCCAGTCGGACTTTCCTGTCCTGCGTCTGCACTCTGACAGAGGTGGTGAGTTCTCCTCAGACCTCTTGGCAGCCTTCTGTGCGGAGCACGGCATCCGTCAGACGTTCACGCTTCCGGCCTCTCCGCAGCAGAATGGGGTTGCTGAGCGCCGCATTGGCTTAGTCATGGAGGTCGCTCGTACCTCCATGATCCATGCGGCTGCCCCCCATTTTCTGTGGCCGTTTGCGGTCCGCTACGCCGCGCATCAGCTCAACCTCTGGCCCCGTGTCTCCTTGCCGGAGACCTCGCCCACACTGCTGTGGACGGGGAAGGTTGGCGATGCGTCGCGTTTCCGGGTCTGGGGTGCTCGTGCCTTTGTCCGCGATACCACCGCGGACAAGCTCTCCGCCCGCGCTGTTCCCTGTGTCTTCCTTGGCTTTGTCCCTGACGCGCCTGGTTGGCAGTTTTACCACCCCACCTCGCGCCGTGTCTTTCCCTCTCAGGACGTCACGTTCGACGAGTCGGTTCCCTTTTACCGTCTCTTCCCCTACCGCACTGCCCCTCCCCCCCCCCCGCCGCTCTTCCTCGCTCCAGGTGCTCCCCAGGTAGACCCCCTCCCCGCTCCCGGTCCTGCTTCTTCAGGTGTGTCTCAGGTAGACCCTCCTCCCTTGACTGCGCCGTTTGAGGTCACTGGTGACTCGGGTCCTGCTGAGGGTGGTCCTGCTCGGGGTGCTGCTTCTGGGAGTGCTGAGCCTGGGGGTGCGGAGCCTGGGGGTGCTGAGCCTGGGGGTGCTGAGCCTGGGGGTGCGGAGCCTGGAGGTGCGGAGCCTGGGGGTGCGGAGACTGGAGGTGCTGAGCCTGGGCGTGAGGAGTCTGGGGGTGCTGAGCCTGGGGGCGCTGAGGCGTCTGGTGAGCAGTCTCCCTGGAGCGGCCGTCTCCGTAGTCGCTCCGCTGGTGCCTCGCCGCTGCACTCTCGTAGTCGACTCCCTCTCTCCCCACAGCAGCTGCTTGAGTGGTACGTTGGCCGTCAGGGTCGCGCTGCTGGAGCTAGGGGCCCTGCTGCGGGAGGCGCTGGAGCTGGTGACTCTGCTCCTGGATTTGTTTCTGCTGGAGGTTCTGGAGCTACAGGAGGTGCTGGCGCTGGTGGCGCTGGTGCTGAGGGTGCTGGCACTGGAGGTTCAAGAGCTGCTGCGGGTGCTGGCGCTGAGGGTTCTGAGTCTGCTG